TTAGACAAAAAAACACCGTGTCCTGACTCTCTCGAAAGAGATCGTCAACCCTTTCCTTCTTACATTATTTCATCCTCGATACAAGAGATAACAAAATCTAGCGCGTAGGCTTCTTCTTTCTCGATATTATTCTACATGCAATAATTGAAACCGTTTCTCCGTTTGCATGGAAGCCAAGAAAAATATTCGCGAGTAAACTTTCGAATAATTAAACCACATCTCCGTCAAGAGAAATAAGAAACGTTAAACCTCGATACAGACTCACTAATTAACACTGTTGTTGCGAGTCTTCACGAAGAACGAAGAACGGCAACAAGAGATGCAGTCGTACTTGCTTTCAATTCAACGAATGCCTGCAAATTAATTTCCGGACGTACATACGTTACTCCTCGCTCGTAGCAAATAAAACATTCATTCCTACGACTAACTCGAAACAAGCAAACATCTTTACACGTGTGTCGCCGCAACGACTGTTTCCCAGCGACACCAGCTAAAGATAAAAGGGAGTACGCGTCACGATTTACACCGGAATCGAAATCCGGCGGCACCATATTTCAGGAAGAGAATCGAAGAAACCACGAAACGTGTTTCAGTTTACCGGAAAGAAGTATAAACCACAGGGAGGTAACGAACGATGTGTTTTACAAAATGTTCTGTTCGAGTCTATTGAGACAAATGCATCGTAAAATATGAAGAGGAAATTGTAATGTATTTTCGAATGATTAAATGAAACCACGAATCTTTCGAACACATTTTTTAAAAATATCTCCATCGACTAATTGAAGTAACGTAGCTGAAAGAAGACCCTCGCATTCTTTTATCCACGAGCGTTCAACGCACATGGTAAAAGTTGCAGTCTTTTCCTCTCGTGGATTCAGCCGTAAAAAAGCTCGTAAAATAACAATCGCGACTCTTGTTGGAAGCCGTAATGATGTATAAATGGGAACAACTTTATAATTAATACTCTTTAATATTCTTTTGTTCTAGCAACTCGCCAACCGGTCATGCGCGAGATGAATCTGCGTTTCTGCATGTAATTTGCGACCTTTATTTAAACGTTGTACGCAACAACCGATTCTCGTTCTCGCTGAAGAGAATCATTGCCATACGTGCAAAAAAATATCAACTGATTCGTAAGTCCAGAAGTATAAAGTGTTTTACGTAAACTGTATTAACCAAAGAAATGAGAATGCGCTAGAATTAGAAAATATATTCTGCTAACATTTGGATCCTCTCTTCTTGAATCTCATATTTGGATTCTCGAATTTGAATATTTTCAGATAACATATTCCCGTTCTCGCTGTGCCTTTTCAAAAATTTTCAGCGGATCGACAGGGGAATACTCCCGTGACAACGCGATAACTTTAATTCCACGCGTCCATCGATCTCCTTACCGTCCGTGAGATTAGGTAATTACACCGGACGGTGTGATAACGAAATCGGAATATCGACTGGTCGGACCTCCAGAGAAATCGAGCGAAGTATGAAAATCGTTGAACGAAAAAGAAGAACCGCGGGCTAGGAGAGAAAAAAGAGAAATAGGAGGAACTCGCTCGCTCGAAAAATCTCATTTCTGAATTACGCCGTCTCCGTGGCACGTTCGTCCACGGTCCGGAAACTTCGCGTTGGAATTGTAATTCGTTTCTGGCCGAAGACGCGCTACCTGCACCACCCCACGAAGGGAGAAAAAGTACGTGAACATACAATGAGCATAGAAAACTTTACGCTCGACGCTTGACGGGGGGAGGGAGGCGTTATAAACACTGCGTCATTTTCTATTGCGTCGTACGTTTCATACACCTGCAATAAACAGGAGCAGCAGGTTTAATTGATGAAGGTTGATTAATGAATCGATTGCGCGATCAAACAATAAAGAGATAGATTATAGAGTATCCAACTCCCTCTTGTCATCGAGTCATTTTCCAGATTCAATTTATCGAAAGGAATGAACGGAATTCAGGAATGCCAAATATCTTTATCGGGAGCATAAACAAATATTATGTACATCGGATACTGGAAAATATTCCAAATAATTTGCTGCACGGTATGTCCAGTGAGTCGTTGAAAAATCATGCTGCACGTTTATGACCAATTGAATTTTAAACGAATCCAGAAGATAAACAATGAAATCTGCGTAAAACGAATATGCTAATAATAATGACGGGACATGGAGAACGCGAAACACAAAACAAAAGCGGCTGGTGGCCCGCATTCGGGGGAGGACGGGCCGCGATTCCATTTACCGAATGATCGGTCAACTGAATGATTGGATGGTCGGTTTTTGGTCGCAATTTTCCCAGACCCAATTCCCTCCGCGTATTTTCTTTAACGCGGTCCAGCTTCGATCGCTCACTCTCAGTCAGCCTCGAACCCACGAGTACCGTTTTACCTCGTACCACGATTCTCTTGGTTTTATGCACGTAAAATTCTACTTCTAATTGCACCTTGAAACATCCTTGACAAAATAATTACTCGAGGGGGATTCGATAACCCAACAAACGTGACCTTATCTCGTTATTTTTCGTTCCACCGGGCTTCCGAATCAAGTACGTACTTGCACGAAACGATAACCCATATCAAGATACCGCGTCGCATGTTTCCAACCACTTTCCATCGATTCTAGGATAGCTGTTCGCTCTTTTCTCGCTTATGCTCATACAAGATACCGTTCAGACTACTTTAGATCGGCTCTTACTAAAAACCCAGACTCCTTTCGGATAGAACGTTACGGACCCTGTTAGTATAAAGGAGTTCGCGTTACGTATAAACGAAATTTTCGATTACGAGTCCATTATTAAATGATAGATCATTATCGTCTCGGAAGATGTTAAAAAACGATTGGATTCAATAAAAGTATACGTAAAATAATAGCCATGACTTTTAGGATATCTTGCAAAAATGACATTCTTTACATAATGTTTCTCGTCGCTGCGTCGACGATTTTCAGTTTTAAATCTCAATGAAGTAGTCCAACCTTTTTATAACATCGTAGCAATCCGTTCAGCGAGGACGATCGCCGATTTATCGAAAATCGTTGGTAACCGCTGCGTGGGGACAATTGAACATTTACCTTTAACAATGGCCGTCGTGGAAAAAGCGGTGAATATCAGGATCAGCTTCATCGGCGAGACTTTCATTCCGTACTCCATCATAGTTAGGTGGAATCCGTTACAGGAACATGGATGAACACACCGAACATGAAGAAACGTATTTAAACACAGAAATAGTCCACTCCGTCCATTCGCGCACCGCTCGTTGTATCTATCCTCTTTTTGACGACTTCGAAGGAACGTATGTTCGCAGTTCACCCGCGCGATCCAGGATTTATCGCAACGTCAACATCGAAGACTGTCAATTACTTAACTCGCACGTTTCACAAATATTTCACTTGATCGGCTAGTAGCGTCTCACTAAATCGAAGCAGATCGCTTTATCGAATCGTAATCGAAGCATTGATATATCGCGTCGCCACGTTCGATTGTCAGTTCCCGCGATTCGAAGTACGACACAAACTTCAAAGAGTAAGCGATCGCCGATTTAGCCCGCTCGTATCGTTCTTTACAGAGAGAGACAATTTTTATTTCCTACGTCACGAAAAACTCATAACTGTTCGCGGAACTTCGCACGAGTAGCGCGATCGGAGGTCGATAGGGTCGACGCGCTTACTGTAACAGGTGAATCGTCAATGATCACGTAATCACTGCGTTCGAATTTTGATACTGATCATCCAGCTCCGAATATTCGCACAAGAGTCAACTTCGATCCTCGATCGTTGGTCTTTTCCGGACACGAGAGTCGTTGACGGGAATCATCCCCCGTTGTCACCGGTTTCCGTGCACGCTCTCGACTTTTCACCCCGGTCTCGTGGACTTCTTCGTCGATTCCCTGGATGTCGGACCTCCGTTTATTATACGCGTCTTTCACTACCGCGGTGTACCGGCTCGCGTTTCTTACTCGCAATTTCGAAGAACAATACGGACACGTAGTTACTTACTCGACACCGGACCGCGCAACCACGAAATAAAATTCGTATATCCCACCGCACACCTACGCGGGAGTATGAACACTGTGGCACAGGCACGGAGTGGCGTTTCTCCGAAGGGAAGGAGGCCTCTGCCCCCGCAGAGATCCACGGAGATTGCCGAGCAGCGACGAATCCAGCCGAACGGGCACGAGCCGAACGCCACAACCTCCCAACCCCTGGACATCCTGCGAGCGCACTGCGCACGCAAAACACTTGACACGAGACGAGGATGAGATGAGGGGAACAACACAGAAGCGGAAAATCGACGGAAACGTCGTCGTCAAGATGTATCCCTACGGCCTCGAGGTGGGACCGATTTTTCAGAATCCGTCCGTTTTCTATGAAGATAACGCGCACCATTTTGTTAAGTAGCTTATACGTTTTTCCGAACAAGTTCCTACGTCCCATAAATTACTCGTGATAATGAAAACTATTCGAAATCTGATAAGTCATTAATATATCAGCAATCATTTTTGTGTTTACTACGTAATTTGACAAACAGAAACGCTGTTTAAATTCCATGAGTTTCGCAACTCGTAGTTATAAACAGAAACTTGTAAGAGACGACTTATTTATTGAACAAGATATTGAATCGTTTTAAAAGATCGTAGCACATAACTAAATAAATGAGTAGGATGCAAATAAATTTCAAACTTTCCAGAATAAAGCAAACATTATCCAACAGTTTAATTTTACGAAACGTTTCCATTTTAGCGTCTCTGATTTATTTTAATAAACCAATAATTTGAAATGTATGAATTAATGTATAATAATGCGAATATCAGAGACGAGTTCTATTTATTGCGATCGATACATTCATTCTTGAATTAAATATTGAAACAATGAAAACGACTTTTTAGCGAAGTTTTATTTCAATTGCTTCTGAATATTTAGTTACATAGAATATGAAAAAGTCGAAGAGGAAGGTCGGAAGAGGATATTACCTCGGTTTGGAAATATTAAATCTAAAAAGACATTTGTTATAAGTCAAATTTTTATTTCGAATTTCTACAAAAAATGTTCTATGCGTTTACCTTCCGTTTTGATACAAGCTTGAGATCTTCGTAGCGGAGAATGTTCTTGGGGACTTAGATATTAGAAAACTGCATCTTTTATTTAAATACACACACAAAACGTTGTTTTCGAAGGCCGCTGTGATTTAATAGTTTGTTTTTGGAATCTACTACCGCTGAAATCTCAAGCTTGATGATCATCGAATCATTGTCCTTCTAACTCTTATTATAAACGAGCGAAATATGTCACAGATCTCTCACTTCGTAAATCTTAACGAACACCCTACGCGTACACAGAGGATGAGTCTTTTATCGGTCGCTGTCGCTCTGCAGTTTCTTTTTAAAATTTGTTACGCAGGACCGCATACTTCAAACGGAAGCTGATCAAAGCGCGCTCTCTTCTACAACGTCCACGAAAAAGGAAAAAAAAAGAGTAGATCTGATAGAAAATTCACCCTACACGTAAAATAGATAATTAACACAAAAACGAAAACAAATAAATACGCTAAATTATATTAAAATATGTTTGTCATCGTAAATCGTAGTGTGCGGCGTTCTATTTTGCTTTGGCATTCTATGCATTTTTCTTTCTTTCTTTCTTTTGTTCTTTCTCTCTTCCTTTTTTCTTGTTTCGCACGAGACAAGAAAAATAAAAAGGGGATTCGTCGGCAAATTTCTGAACTCCCCGCGGAAACGACGATGTTACGCGCGTAGGAAAAAAATCCTTGTTTTTCTTTTCGTTCCCATTCTTCCTTTCAAAAGACTACGTACCATTCGTTGATGGGAGATTAAAGACAATGCTAATGAAATTTCCGCTATATTGACCACGAATATCCCTATAGTCCTCGAGGAAGTCGTGTTTGAATGAGTATACTATGTACATCTCGTACGTTTCGGCCTTGCAAATAGCAAAGAAAAAAATAGAATTTGTTTCGCCGGTATTCAGTTTTTTCAGTCTTATAGGTATCTATACTAATCCCGATGATCGAAGCGGTGCTAAAAATCCTACGACGCATCCTTGACTGTAGTAGAAATTAATTCCTACTTTTCTTTAGTAGTAATTAAATGTAGCCTGACGTACACATAACAATCGAATCCCCCTTACTGTGCATTCAGACAATTGACTTTTCAATTTAGCTTTACATAGTTTCGCTTTTCCCTCGAAAAGCGAAACCCGACTGGGTAGTATAATCGTGGTATCTTCGTGGACGTTTCCTACCGGAAACGATCTCGAAGACACGTATGACGAAAAAAGGGGAAGAGGAAAAAATGCTTTAGTAAGGCACGTGTGAAAATGTTAAATGCTGTAGAAATTGGAAAAAATAGCTGTAACTGTTCGAGAACCACGAGAATCGACGTTTTGCTGGAAGAGCTTTGAAAATTTCTGCACGTTCCCTTAATTCCTATAGTACTTACAAAATAGTTAGACCGATTGTTTTTTCATACAGTCTTTAACAAGGCACTAATTTCCTGCGCGAGATACAAGTATGTAATATACATATATGTATATTTGAGAAGACCGCAGTATTTCTAGACGTAGGCACGATGTGTATATGAAACGAGAGAAAATCAATTCCGTTTTCACAACAGAAATTACTTTGGTAATGACTAGGTCATGCACTATCGCTACGCTCAACGATATATCGTGGTTTCTCCCGCGATCGGTTGTTTCCCCGTTTTTTAACGTAGCGAGAAGGGAACTAACGCTTCGTTCAATATTATGGCTGTGTCTACGTATGTCTGGAACATACGTACATTAAGACTCTGGATGTAATCCGAACTGCTGAAGCAAGAAAACAGGGATGCTCCCAGGCCAGTCTTGCTTTTCATTTTCTCTTTCGTCATTTTCGTCCCTCGTGTAGCTCACAAATCGTTTTTTCCCGTTCACTCGAATCAATAATTCCTTTTTCCATTTATCAAAAACGCAGAAAAGAAACTTAAGACGGTAGAACAAGCTTACGTACCAATGTAAATTGGTAAGAGAGTTTTGCATATAGAAGAACGTATCTCTCCGATTGCTCGTTAAAATATCCGTTCCCCTTTTTAAAAGAAAAACATCAATCGTAGAATCGGTCAGTTTCGAAAACTAAAATTGAATGCGACAATTGTTCGGACGCGGTATGGACCTCGCCTTGGAAGGTGGCAAAGACGAGGTAGACGCCTCGCTGCTGGCAGTGCCGCCGGAATCGCGGCCTCCGCTCTTGCTGCTCACCGTACTCCCGGTACTCTGTCCCCGTGATCCGGTCTGCTTTCTTAAAGTGCCCTCGCTAAGGCGACCGTACTCTGCGACGCGACAAGACGGTGGCGGTATCAGCGAGCGATTCTGCGTTTCCCTGTGCTTCGTCTCCGAATTGGATGGCTGTTTCTTGTGAACGGCGGTGTCGCCCTGTAGGCGTTCATATTCGTGTCCGATCGGCTTCTTCAATGTATTGCTCGCGACCAACAGCTCCGCGCCGGACGATTTCTTTCGGCGCTGAGCCTTCGCATCGAATCTCCCATATTCGATAGTGGAATTGCTCGCATCGCGCATCTTGATGCCTGTGGGAGGGTCCAGCGCCGGGCCTGGATCGGACTTCTTACGCGTCTCCGTATCGCTGAGTCTGCAATAACGGGAGCCCGTCGATTTCGCGTTCTTCGGTGGCCGAGGTAACGAGCTGGGTGGAAGGCTGCCCGCGCGACGCGGCTCACCCTCCTGCATCCTCTGTCTCTGTGAGCTTCTCCCCTGCTTCTCCAACAGCATCATATCTTCGGGCTTGCCGTCCGATAATCTCGAGACGGTGCCTTTTAGCCTCGAGGCTGCGCTAGCGAATTCCATGATACCGGGCGAGACCTCGCCCCCAGAGTCGTCCAACAAACGACTCTTACTCGAGGCGGTGCTCGAGGTACCTGTACTATCTACACCCGCCAATAATGGCTTGGGTATTTTTCCTTTTCTCGACGCAGTGCCTGGATTAGAGAATCCTGGAAAACAGCAAAGTGCCCGCTGAAACAAGAGAAAAGAAGACCTGCGATTGGAAAGGAGGCCCGGGACCTGGAAAAGGTGTTAGTGCTCGCCACAACAGCGCATGCACACTCAGGGATCACACGGGATTGGAATTTGGACGGGTTAGTTGGATTAAAAAAAACAGGAGAACGGAAACGTCGTCTTTCTCTTTTTTTATCACTTAAACTACTGGATACACTTGCAAACACATAATTTATACGATAAATCAATGGCACGCAATTATCTGTATTAGTGAAAATACAAAACTTTACTCAGTTTGTAAGTAAAAACAGCGAATGCATTCTTATATTATCTACGAATATACTGTTTCGTTATTTATACAGAGTCCGCTCTTTCATAGTATTCTATTTTCTTTAAAAAATAATAAGCGTACTTTTAAACCAAGTACGTATCTTGTGTTAAATGTAGAAGCGTACTCTGTATACGTTTCAGTAATCAAACAAGATGAAAAAAGTATATAAAAACGAATTAAATGAACACGCAAATGGCTGTAACTGTTATGCAAATAATGGCAATAATAAGCACTTAAATAATCGATGTATTATACGCTTATATCAAGACTGGAAGATAATAAACTGATTTTACTAGAACTATTTTACGAGCATTTTTCATAATACATCAACTATTTTCAGTCGTATGATCAATCTAAATATAACACTGAGGTACCTTTTAACACACAATCGGTAATATTTTCAGAGTCTTCCGTAGCTATAAGGCTAAAGTAATTACTAAAGAAATTAAACGTCACGGAAAGCATTACGAACGCAAAAAAAGATTTTATCTTTTCATTGTATCGCCACGAGATCTTTACTCGCGTTTAGATTATACGTTTACTTGGATCTTGCATACCTTACTAAGCAGTTGGGAGTCTAGCTCTTTTAATTGATCATCGAGACTCTTGTTCGTTTGCTCGAAACTGCCTTGCTTCCTATACTTATAACTGTCTGTAACACCGTATGAACCGGTACTTCCGTAGCCGCTACCACCACCCAATACGCTGCTTACTGCAAAACATACAATAAAGAGGCAATTAATAGATTGAAAAATAATCTGCTCACTCAACTATTAACGAAAGTATTTTCCTCTCACCAAGTTCTGGCGTGCTCGTCAGTGCAGTATGGTGATCCGCCGATGTACTTGAATGAGACGAGTGCGCAGCAGGATAACTACCAACACCACTGCTGCTACTGCTATCTTTGTCATACGTATGCTTCTGAAGTACGCGGATCATGGCGTCCCTCTCGGCTAATTTCGATTCTAAATCTTTCATTCTGCAAAGTAATCCGTACAAATATAATTCTACGTCATCAAAAGGAACGCGTAAACAGTTTCTTCGAAATAATAGTACCTAGATTCGAGATCTGCCAATTTCTTTTGCGCAGCATGAACTTCGTCCATGTGTCGCATCTTCTCAGAACGAGCCTCTGCGATCAATTTCTCCGCGTCTTGACTAGTTTTTTCCAACGCAGCTATTTTAGCATCTCTGTTTATTCGGAGAAAATAAATGTTAAATTAATACGTGCGTGCGACGATGCAAAAATAAATGAATAGAGAAACATACTTTGGTAAGCTAGCTGCGTCGATCGCTGCTTGTCTCAACGCGCTTTCTTCGAGATAACGTTGCTCCCATTTCGCGACATCGCCTTCCAGCGACATAATTTTTTCGTCTCTTTCGCGTATTCGTCGTTTCAACTCTGCGATCGTTTCTCCATTGGAGAATTGTTCATTACCATTAGCACCGCCGCCTCCGCCACCGCCGCCTTCTCTCAATTCCCGTTCTAATTGACCTCTCAACTGCCTCTCCGTTTCTTCCCTTCTGTCGCTGGACGCTTGAAGAGAAGATAAAGCTCGTTGAAGTTGACCTACTCTTTCCACGTACACTTGTTTTTTTCGACACTGTAAGCAAAAGTCAATATAACAGGCGATTGGGAAAATTGAATAATGTTTCCTAAATAAAAAGATGAGTACCTCTTCTTCAAGACGTACTACGTTTCCTTGTGCATTAGTGAGAGCAGTATCCAAAATATCTATATGTGTACGTTGTTCTTGTAGCGTTGCTCGTTGTGCTGCCAATTCGATTTCCTGCCTCTCTTTTGCCGCGGCTAATTCCTTATCTAGAAAGTCAGTGATCGATCAGAACTTTTATCCATAAGAGTCGAAATGAATTTCATAGCATACTTTGTGTAATTAACTGGCCAATCAGTAGTTCACGTTGCGTCAATTCCTTTCTCATGGATTCTACGATCGGCGGACTATCGGTACGCGCTGACAGTAAATCTATTTGATCTCTCAATGCGCGATTCAATTCTGTTAAACGCCTGCAATCGTTCTGCAACCTCAGCCTAGCAGCTCGTTCCAATTTCTCCCTCCGCTCGCTCGAAGCCGCCAATTCTTCATGAGCTCTGTGCACCTTCGCGATTTCTTGTTCCAACTTCTGAGATTTAGCAACTTTGCTGTAACACTGCTCCAACTCCAACTTCAACGCACTATTCTCTTGGATCACGATTTGTATCATCTCCGCCGATGGCCAGATTTCACCTGTTGCAGATTCTATCTCCTCTCTGCCTTTCGTCTGAGGTCTATAAAAACATTAGGAACAAACATTATTTATAATAAACATCGAGAGTCAGCTAACTTCTATCAGATTAGCTAAATCACCGTGGAGATGTGGTTCGTAGATTGTAGTTATCGATGTCCGGTTTGCCGATTCTAGACAAGTCGGGTTGCGATCTCGACAGCGTTAATTTTTCCATTGGCCCAAGAAGTCGAGATTTAGTTTTCAGTGGCAACAGAACGGACATGTATGAAGGCGGTGGTCTACCTTCTGACTCGCTATTTACTTTTCCCCTATCACCATCTCTCATTCTCACATCGATATTTGCTCCATTGTTCGTTAACTTATTGTATGATGGAACTTTCACTTCCTTCGCAAGATGTTTTAATACCTGCACACAACGTAAAGTATGTACGGATACATTTATTTAATAAGATTCCCTTCTTCGTCAAAATAATCACCTGCGACTGACTAAGATAATCATCTGGTATATCCGTGATTTCTTGACACCCCCCGTTATTAGGTTGCTCGTAGACATGATCATCGTGAGATAAATTAGATAAAGATTGCATAGTAGGACTGTTCGAATGTCCCTTTCCACTACCGTCGCAGTACAAGTAACCCATGTCTCCGTGTTCTCTGACTACTCCTGATAATCTGAAATTAACTAATGCTTTAAAAAGTGTCATAAAAAGATATTACCAAGACTAAAACGATCGTAGCTGTTACCTTCCAGATGGTACCCAGGAGTTATCGTCGTTAGCATTGTGTATGATAAGCGTATTATAGGAGCTCGTAGACACGTCCAAGCTGCTTCTGTTCGAGCCTACACTGGTACGATTGCTTAAATTATCCTTCAAACTATTCCTATTAGAACCATTAATGCTATCTTTAAGACTGTTTCGATTGGAACCATTCAAATTCTCTTTCAAACTGTTCCTGTTCGATCCGTTCAAACTATCTTTCAAACTGTTTCTGTTGAGCAGGTTACCCTAAATCGCAGCAAAGTAATTTACACTTACATAACTTAATAATAGTGCATTTCGTAGAATGTAAGAATAATATAACAATAACTGTGTACATTCGACATTAGTCCAGCTGAATTACAACCAATAAAGCTATCAGGAATATTCTCATTTAATAAGTAACCATACTAACTTGAATATTTGGTATATTTTCTTTATGACTGGACGATCTAGATGGACTTTGCTGCTGATTCTCCTGACCTTGAGGCTCCTGGCGAGCCGTATGTCTTATAACATAACGATCTTCATTAGTTAAATTTTCATTTGATGTTGAGACATCGGTTTCACTGCCGCTTAAACTTTGTGGAAGACCACCTGTCGAATACAATTAGATATTCTTTTTATTGTCTTAAATATTACGAATTAAATCGGGAAAAAGCAGGGATCATTTTCATTTCTATACCTTGCATGGATAATTGCTTCCTCTGTATATTGTTATTTGAAAAAGGCAAGAATCTGCTACCTTGTTGGAGAGAACTCATTTTCCTAGTTTTATCATTTACACCTTCTTTTATAGTTTATCTACAGTCAGAATTAGTTTCTTATAATTATACGCGAACTATATACACGTGCATAGATATAAAATTATCGTATGGCAGGAAACGCATAGGATAAATGCACGTGTTATTTTATTTATGTGTTTTATTAAATTAATTCAACGAAGGTTAACTTATTTCGTGTTAACACGCTTAAAGATTAACGAAAAAGAATCTATCGTCGCGGACCTTCGACATGCAGGCGGGCTTGAAGAGACTTAAGAATGATTTCTTTCGTGACGCGAACGTACGTTGTACAGAAAAAGACTTCGCCTCGAAGCATATCGAGAAGGCGAACGAAAAAGATGAACCAATATTCACAGACGCTCGTCAAATCTCTTGGAAGATATCACTGAGAAACGCAAATTTAATTTATCTATTTAATTCGTACATTCTGTATTTGACACTGTGCACAATATACGCGGCATTCCGAAAACGAGAGACGGAGAGGAAATAATACGAAAGTTGGAAAGGAAAAAAAGAGAGCGATGGCATAGTAATGGTAAAAGCAGAGCACTCTGACAGAGGTGTCAACACTGTGGAATGTTGATAATCCGGAGATATCGAATTTTTGGTTGATGCATAACATCGCAGCGTCTGAAAGCATTTGAGATGTCGCGGACTCTATTTTCATCGGCACATACGGGCGTTGGAAACCCGAGAAACGCTGCCATCGCACGCGATCTTTGATACATTTTTATAGCTTTCCGATCTCTCGAAGAACTGTATAAATAAACAAAAGAATATACTCGAACTGTGTGCATGCATGTCCGTGGTATGTACGTGGATCTTTCACGCGGCGCGTTATCGCGAAATCGAAGCTAGATCGTCCTCACGAATCATCGTCCGATTACTCACATTATGCGAAGGTGTAAAATCGGGATAAATGTCGTAATTATTTCAATAAATTAGTACACTTTACTGCTCCACGCACGAGAAATAAAAATCGCTAGTTCTTGCATTCCTCATCAGGGTGCGACGGTATACGAAAGCGGGATATGCTCTTCCTCCTGACCTGACGCTTCGAAACTTTCCCAACCTTCTTCGTGCGATCGTATAATGATAAATAATGAATTCATTGAAAAGCAGCATACGTAAAATCGCGCCCTTAGTACTATTTTCTTTTAGGTACAGTTGTACTTGATGTTTAACAATTTCCCTCCTTTTTACACGCTGGATGTATTACATTTTGCATATCCATTCGCTATTCTTAACCAAGATTTATGTCAAGTTCATTGTACGCGATATGTAATATTTAAGTCCTTACGATAGGACTTTGTTTAACTTCCAGTAGTTTGAATTAAATATTGTAACGAAGGAATAATCAAATGTAACGTAAAGAACTTGTTTCGCGTGGCGTTTATTTAAGTCTGGTTCACTGACGCGAACGCGTAGATTCTAATGGAAACTATACTTGGATGAAAGTGATGTTCATTGTCTGTGTTCAGGGTGTTCAGTAGCTTTACTCTGTCATCTGATTGCACGTTGCACATTGCAGTTGCACTGATTACACCCAGTGATGTAAGATTTGCGGAATTTCGATCGCCGCGCGTACGGTGAAGAAAAGTGGAACTAAAAGTCTTGATGTAAGATTTTGCGGATTTTTCCGCCCATAGCGTAGACCCAGTCTAGCATGCTGTTATGTCTTAGCTTTAAAGTTTGAACCTAGCCGCGCGCGTAATTTGAACGACGTACCACTACACGCGTAATTTTTCCGTATACGTGTATCAGGTAAACGGCAAGACCCAAACTGCAAACCTGCCCTTTAAATGCTCGTGTCTCGTGGATCCTTCGATGACCAGCAAACGCTTTCGCCTCAGCTCCTTCGTTTTCGCGTAAAGGGATGCAAACGAGTCACGCTCAGCGATTGCACGTGCATATATAATTTTTTTTTAACAACCATAAACATTTCAATGAATTTAACGAGATAACTGTATGTACTTTATATAATAACAATAATGAAAGTTGAATAATTAGTATGAAAAAATAATCTTATNATAAGATTATTTTTTCATACTAATTATTCAACTTTCATTATTGTTATTATATAAAGTACATACAGTTATCTCGTTAAATTCATTGAAATGTTTATGGCTGTTAAAAAAAAATTATATATGCACGTGCAATCGCTGAGCGTGACTCGTTTGCACCCCTTTACGCGAAAACGAAGGAGCTGAGGCGAAAGCGTTTGCTGGTCATCGAAGGATCCACGAGACACGAGCATTTAAAGGGCAGGTTTGCAGTTTGGGTCTTGCCGTTTACCTGATACACGTATACGGAAAAATTACGCGTATAGTGGTACGTCGTTCAAATTACGCGCGCGGCTAGGTTCAAACTTTAAAGCTAAGACATAACAGCATGCTAGACTGGGTCTACGCTATGGGCGGAAAAATCCGCAAAATCTTACATCAAGACTTTTAGTTCCACTTTTCTTCACCGTACGCGCGGCGATCGAAATTCCGCAAATCTTACATCACTGATTACACCTAGTTGTGACGTAGCTGCATACGCACCAAACATGTTCCATACTCAGCAATTAATTATGAATTCCAGCAAATTACGTCAGTTTTATAGACTCATTTCTACTAGATCACCGCCTCAGAGTTTATGCGTTATATCAGTTATATCGCGAACATTTACGCAGGATAAATTGTTAAAAATTACTTCGTGCAACACAATTTTAACACACGGTAATTTACAAACAATGTTGGGCAAATAGTTAACTCCATCAACTAAAAATTGTTATGGGCAATACAAAAAAAGAATCTTTAATTTCGTTTCGCATACTTGAAAGTAGTTTTTAACTCAAAGTAGCATGTTCCGTCGTAAATCTACAATTTTATTTGCAATGTATGGAACGTATTGTTTTTTAGTACAGCTATCCTTAAATTTTACAACTTCGACATTTCTTAATACCGATATTAAGACCATGTCCGATAAAGGATCCCTTGACGTTGATTATAATGGAATTTTAAAAGCTCAGAATGATAGTAGCGTTTTAATCATTGATGTTAGGGAAAAGGAAGAGATTGATGAAACTGGAAAACTACCTGGAAGTATTCATATTCCAAGTACGTCCAAGAATCGTTTAACTAAACATTGTTTTAAGTATTAGATGATCATATTACCGAATTCTGTAGTGGGAGAAGTTGCGAATACTTTGCTAAGCCTCTCTGAAAATGATTTTAAAAAGAAATTTGCTAGAGAGAAACCTTCGAAAGATACGAAAATCATCTTGAGCTGCAGATCTGGCAAAAGGAGTAGCATGGTTCAAGAAGAAATACAGAAGCTTGGATATGAAAAGTAACTTCATGTACCAGAAATATTTCTTAAGTTTTCAAACATACGTACCAATTCTAATGGTATTATTCATATTTTAGCGCGTACAATTATGTTGGAGGATGGCTGGATTGGGAAAGCAATCAAAAGGTATAAAAAATATCTTTCTTTTTATGTATGTCGGGTATATTTGTCAATAAAGTGTCGTTAATTAGATGAAATGACAATTACTCAATCTTTTCCTCTTCAGGAATGAATGTAGCATATGATAGATGTACAATCAATTGTTGTTAATATATATATATACACATGTACTTCATATTTTCTACTCAACATTATTATATACATTAATTCAAATAATCCTGTTTTAGAAAGTAGTTATCACTTATTTTTCTGTTCTTGAGCCAGCTTCTGATTAACCATTTCTCTGAATTGCCCCAAAATAAGATTTTCTCTCTTTTGCCTTTCTTCTTTGCTAAACATAGCCAAAGCGCGTTTCTCGTCGGCAGAATAAATCTGGTTCTCCTTACGTATACGGACAGCTTCCATTCGCCGATGTCTGTGAAGAAAATAAAAATCATATCATCATATTATTGAGATCCATTTTCGTTACTGTTTTACAATTTTGGAAATATAGCTTACCTGCTACCACTCATAACGTAGCCAACAGATTCGTAGGAAGCAATTTCTTCTGAAGTCAAACCAATTTCACCTCTCCTGGGTATACGTTTTCCTTCTGCAACATATGCAGCCATAGCAGCACCTTCACCCGGTAAAAGAGCTTTGCCGAAGTCTTTAGCAGATAACGTCACGTGTGGTTTCTGAACTGGACCCACTATGCCTTCGTCACCACTTTCACCAGAACTCGAACCCTTCTTAACTTTAGCCTTGTCATTAACTCCATTCTTTTCTACCCACACAAATTCTTCAGTTTCACTCTCAGAACTACTGTCTGACTTCTTCTTTTTCTTTTTGCGTTTCTTCTTTTTTTCTTTCTTGGCTTTCTTCTCCTTCTTCAATTTCTTACTTTTCTGGAATAATTTTAAATACACAAATAAGTACATGCTGGAAATATATGAAAATATTATTTCGTACCTTCCTTTTCATCTCTTGTTTTCGTTTCCTATCTCTTGGCATGCTGTTATCTTTGTACTTATTGAGTTCTTCATCGTCGTCAGAACTACATTAAAAATAAAGAATTCAGGTTACAAATTTGCTATCAAAAAATAAAGCTATATAGTAGGAAGATTGTAATTTCGTACTCCTCGATTCGCGTCGGTGATTTGCCCCAAAGTCTATCAACGCCACACAATCCGATTTGTTCCCTGTCACGTCTACGTGCATCCATCGTCGTGTTATTCTTTGTTTGCTGTCGCTATTACTGTTTGTTTGCAATATCCACTAAGTACTGCAATGCATTCAGCCTCAGACATTTTGAGGAACTACATTCGCATCTCCATTGCCAATTGCCAAAAATTCAATGCTAAAGCCTTTGTGTTGGGCTTGGAGTTTGGTTCAGCGTCGGTATTGGTGTGTACTATGTATATGTACGATATGTACGTCAGTGAGATGTAAGATGCAATACGATGATGTCAGTGATATCAATATGATGTCTGATAGTCTGATCCAGTGTCGTTCTTACTTCATACCAGAAAGAAACTGTTCTCTCTGTCCTTCTTGTGAACGTTAAGAAAAGTTGCCTGAAGTTCCCAAACAGCCACCCTCGCGCCACCTTCGTCACTCGTCAGGAACAACGCGGGGCATAACGAAAACGAGTGAACGAGTAACCTCAGTCGCACCGTTCGTACGCATCAGTCAATTCAGTTAAAGTCCAGTTAGTTAAATGTAGTCTCTCTCTCGCGAAGGCAAGTTTACAAAAGTTTGGACGCTTGGAATTTGATTATTGTGCAATGCACACTGTGATGCGATCAATTACGAAATAATTAAACGATATGATCGATAAATATGCAAAGGAAAATTAGTGACGATACCCGGGACAATCGTGAGGATGGAAAGTGTTTTAAAAATACTAAAGTACAGTGAAAGAAAAGTATCGTTGAAGCATCGTTATTGTCTGTGCAGTGCATAGCGTAGGAATGGTATCGCCGTCCAAAATTCAGCAAGAGCAGAAACAGCCGCCAAGAGAAAAAACGTTAAAGCACCCACGTACGTCCAACATATGTATAATGTATACTATACGTATACTAACGCTTAGCTAAACTAGTGTATACGATCGTCGAAATACTGTTCGATTCGTAACGGAAACGTTTAACTGACCGGTTTTACTTACAATGCACGCGACAGAAGATAAAACGATAACTTTTAATGATAATTGTATTGAGTGAACCTCTATCTAGCTTCGATTCGTCGTCAAGTCTGACGAAGAAAATATTTGTGGCATTTCAGATGCTTCTACGCGAAAGAGTTTAAAACCACTGGAAGGGAAATCGTTTTACTTGGATATCAAAAATCATGCTGTCACATCCAAAATAGAAGCGAAGATCAAGGATTTGGGAGGCGTAAGTATTTTTTATTTATGCGTGGGATGGAGATACTTATTTGCCAAACTATTCAACCGTACGTTTTCACGGCACGACACGCGATCGATGATCAATCGTGTATTTTCGATGCATTCATATGTAATATACGATGGTAGTGGGTATGTGATCGTTCTCCTCGTCCCATATACACGCTTCCCCTCCACTCGTCACGTATTCGGCGTGTTTATTCGTGGACTCTCTCACTCGCACCCATTATTCTCTACATACTTCGATTCCACACTCCCGATTCCCGCCTATTCCAGTGCCATGTATTTTTCGGTTAACGATCAATGTTCAATTCTCGGAATCGGACAATCGTTGGCCATGGATCGAAAAACGTAGTATTTACGAAAATATCAAAGAATTTTAAAAGGATGCCTGAGTACTTTGTTGTAAAATACGCATGGTGATGTCGTTCCGTTCTATGTTGACAAATAATCGGTGAAAAAAACCGGGTCGCGTGACGCCATCTTTAGGTAGAGCCAAGAAACATAACGGGAGAAGTGGGGCAGACGTCGTTGCTTTCAACCGTTGTGTCGTGGTTCGAAAAACAAAGAGTATGGACGGGAAATTACGGGGAAAAAGAATTTTCATGCATTCGACGGGGCAGCCGTATACTGTTTGCAGCGGTGTTCGTCGACGGAGAGCAAGCGGGAACCCAAAGCGCCGCCTCCAGGCTCGTCTGCCAAGCTGTTAACGGCGAATGGCCATTTTGTGCGTGACAGTTCTCCCCCGCGAGTAATGATCTCGTCGCGCGTCCGAACGCTCTTTTTCTTTCTACTCGAGTACATCTCGTTTCGCCGTTCGAGATACGTCCTCGCGAGCTCGTTATCCGTAACCCTATAACCCGCGGCCAGCAATTCGTTTTACCGGGAAGCGCGTTACGAACGTCGAATCCAATGCGAGCACCGAAATATTTCGCGAACTCGCGAACCGATAAACAGTGCTGTTGGCGAGGAAGTTGCTTCCTGGCTTTCGAGAAAGCTCGACGATAATCGAGCGTAGACTCGCCGATTACACTGTTCGTGTTCCTGTCGAATGAAACCGTGCGTGTGCTCACCGATAAAAAACGCTACCCGACTCGTCGTCGTTTCTAATGTTCGACCACCCACGTGTGCGTCGTTTCGAATTCGTCGAACACTATTTAGCCTACGATTAAAAGTGTGGCATCTACGACGATGCGGTGACCATCCGGTTGACTGGCCGAATATCGTCTCCGTCGCACACACGCACGGTCGGCGCTTCCGCGAGCTCGGTTGATAGCGCTCCTTGTCGCGCGTAAATCGAGTTCGACAAGAAGACGAAATTGCTCAACGTCGGCATACCGCGATGTGAACGTGCACTAGTCGACGATTTCGTCCTGTTCTCATCACAAAGTGTCCGTGCTTTGTCTAGAGTCTACAGAGTAGCTATTCACTAAGGGAACCGCAGAAATCTCATCTTCGTAAGTTTTACCAGCAAACAGTCAACAACTACTTTTCTTCTTTGTCCTCTGCATTTTCTTCCGCCTTTCGTTTCTCATCGACGTCGTCATTCCCCTTCTTCCTCGTTCTTTTCGTTCCGTTTCTTTTCTCTGTCCCTTCCGCTTCGTTTCGTTTCGCATCGCTTTGTTCGCTTAGGTATTTACTTCGATACCTGTTCGCACTCGCGCTACGCACAGTTTACCGATATTAAAGCGCGCGCGTCTTTAAACATTTCAAACATTCTCTCGGTGATACCATCCATTTGACCAGGCGGTCTCCTCGACTCTCTCGTCCATCGAATTTTTTATCGAATGTTCTTTTCCAGGTAATAGAATTATTTTTAGTGAAGGACGTAAACCTGGTGGTCAGTGACAGAGTAGATAAAACTGGTTGCGTAAACTTGGAGAAACATAAATGGGGTTGTGCCAGCGGAGGCAGCGGGGGTCCTCCCTCGCTGAGGAGTTTAGGAACTCCGACTCCCATGCCAACTCCTACGACGCCTTTTTTTAGTCCCGAATGCCCGTTGAGTAACGCGACCAATCTACGGGGTGGGCAAACTGGCCAAAGATCCGTAAGTATCCCATTGAATATTCTATAGCGTTACTGATCGCGACACGAATTCACGGAATACGCTTGATACGAGATGATCGAACGATTTATAGAAATCGCGGGTGGAGGCAATGTTGGAGCGTGCTCTGATACAGCCACAACAGTGTTCCGTGGATCCACTTTATAACGCCCAAAGTTGGGGAATTCCTATTTGGGCGATCGACAAGCTTCAAGCTTGGCTCGACAGAAAATACGCGTCTATCAAAGATACGCATAACTCGGGGAAAGATCCGAGACATCCGAATCAAGATCAGACCGCTAAAGAGCTAAGGGTGAAACATCTCAAGGGTCCTTACTTAAAGTTCGAATCGCTTCACAGGTACGTCGTCACTGGCTCACGTTATAGGTGTGTAGCATTCGAATCGCTGCTATTTAAAATTACATGTTTGCACACAGAGCCACTAGACCCGTATTTGTTGAACTGTCCGTGTGGCCAACGTTGAATTTAAACGGAGATCCAGGTAGTTGTCCTTTCAATTCGAAGAAGCGAGAGAAAGCAGAAAAATTGCGGAAGGAAGTAAAGGAAAATCAGGGCGGTATTCAAACCACGAACAAAGAGGAGGTACGATTTTTAAAGTTACGCGGTTTTTAGTCAATAAGGATTAACGATCATTCAGGAAGATTTTTCTCTAAAAACCAACAGGATAAAGAAATGACTCGGCGACCACGAACTACTGCTGCTCGTGCTCGAAGAACAGAACAAATAGCTTCCGGTTATTGCGAAATTTGTCATATCGCTTACCGAGACCTAAGCAAACATGTGCAGACAGACCAGCATCTTAGCTTCGTTCGAAACGACGACAATTTCCTGTCTTTGGATACGTTGATAAACGCGGGAGCCAATGTCGAAGCGTTCCTAAAACTGAATAGAGGAAAGGATATAGAGTACGTACGACGATATCATCGTTCATTCATTCGTAAACGTTTGTATATAGATCTTGTGATTAATCTGTGTATGATTTGCAGGAAAGACTGCAATTTATTTTCAAACGGAGATCGTAAACTTCACGACACGGTACTGCCGACAGAAGGGAAAGTAGATAAAAATGCGACGAGTTTAGACGACTTTGAAGTTGGTGACGATACGAAGATGGTACAGTACAATGGTGCGCGTAGGAACCTTAACTTGAAACTAAGCTCACCTCACAATTTACGTACTCGCGCGAAACACGAAAGTGGACATTTGTTAAGATCAAAAGGTAGTCCGTGGCACGAAGCCGACAAGGCGGAAAAGTTTTACGATAAGTTCGAAGGTTTCACCATAAAGAAACGATCAAAGGGGACGATATGGATCGAAGAGGACGACCCGGATGAGAAGTTCGCCACGGAGGAGCAGGCCAGATTAAAAGCTGCGAAGCAACCATCGAACGAATACAAGATCAAATCATTCTCAACTGAGTTCGAGGATAATCGATGCTGCGACGAAGAAACCTGCGATGTCACCGTTTGCGATAAACGTAAACGTACCACTGGTCGAGATACGCAAAGAACAATCATTTGCAACACCGAGGAGAACGGCATCGGAAGTAAGCAGCGTGATCGAACTCCCATAAAGAATAAAAGCCACGATCAAATCAACGGAAGTGTTAAGAACGGATGCACCGAAAGTCTTCTAAGCACGACGTCGAACGAACGTCTTTGTACGATTCAAGTTTCGCATCCTAGAGTGTCGCCTAGAAATGATGCCTTTAAAACGCGATCGGAGAACAAGAAACTGGTTTCGGAAGAACGCGAGGGCGGCGATGACGATGGGAACATGGTACGCGATGCTGCTTGTAACGGTCACGCTGCAAACGATGAACGGAAACCGGTCGACGAACCGCCGGAGACGGAGAAAAATGGAGAAGCTGGAAAGGAAGAGAAGTTGAAATGCTGTAAAGCGGGTAGAAGAGGTGTCGGTCTAGGCCTCGGCGTCGGTGGCAACAGGAGCGTCAGAGGACGACATAGGTTGTCCGTCGAGGAACGTTTGATCGAGGACAATCGCGCGTATTACAAAGTGGAAGTGTTAGGAAATAAGTTAAGGTCGAGTGCTTTGCCGAACAGTAATTCACAATGCTTAATGCAAAGGGACGAGGATGACGCGGACGATGAAGAGAAGAAGGAAGATGTGCCATCTAGTGAAAAGCCAGTGGTTGTACGATTTAAACGTGTAAGAAAGTCGGAATTGTCGTTGTTGAGCGATGAGGCAGAGTCGTTTATGTTCGGAGAGATTAAACGTGAAGACTCCAGTGAGATAAGCGACGGTGAACAAAGTAGCGTGTTACCGAGGGATACCGAGAGCGAGTGCAACGATTCCGTGAATTCTGTTTCGTGCCCTAGTTCGTTTCTGAGTTCCAGTTCGCCCGTGAAGCCGGACGCTGCTGTCGAGGATGATCATTCTCAAGATTCTCTCGGTTTGGGACGAGCGAGAAAGAGAAGACGCACTCAAGCAGAGGCGCTTATCAAGGACAACGTCGATTATTACAAGTTCGAGGTACCTGGAAGCAGATTGAGGTATCAAGCACCTTTGACCGGTATCGACGAACCGCGAGTCACAAACAGCGAACAATCGGAAGCTGGAAAACCACAACTGAACGACGGGGGGGAAACGATCGTGGTGAAGACCGAGTCATCGGACACGGAGAAGGTGTATCCGTCCAAACCGTCGCCGGAGGTTGAGAAAATGCAATTCTCCTTCGAAGCTGCACCGAAATCCGAACCGTGGTATCAGACCTACCAGCGGCAGGACGAAGGAGCAGAGTATTGGCATTATTTTAGCGAGGGCTATACGCAAAAACCGTTCCTTCTACCGTATGAGATTGACAATTTTCACGAGATCCTAGCGAAGAATCAAAACAGCAGAGTCGAGAACAAGAGGAAAGGTCGCGGAGGTCGGAGCAACACGACGATGACGGGCTCTATCGGACGATCTCCACGAAAGAGTCCTCGTTGTCACGCCTCGACGTTGGCTATAATGTCGACAATTATCAGAAAAAGGGAACAGCAACAACAGTCCACGAACTTTTACACGATAGACGAGTGTCAGCCACCGGTCAAATTACAGCCGAACATGCCAAAACCGTATCGCCAAAAAGTCGAGGCGAAGTCGGATGTAGAAGAAGAATTGAGGGAAAAAATCAAGTCCATTGACGAAATGTTTAACGAGCCCAGCGAGGAGCTGGAATTCGACGAAGAGACCGAACCGGACGTCGCGATGCAGATGGAATTGAATCTTTGCGAACCGGTCTGCGTTCCCCGTGGACCGCCCCCGAATCTGGTAGAGCTGCTGGAGAATTGTCATGAGATGATCAACTATTTAGAGAATTCATCTTGCGCAAGTTCGGAGTGCGGCGAGACGAACGTCGAATCGTCACCGTTGAAGCGAAGGAAAAAGAGGAAAAATAGAACCGGTTGGCCCGGAAACAAGTTGAAGAAGAGGCAGCAAATTCAGAATAAAATTTCGACAGACGCGAATCCCGACCGTGGAGGTAATCCATTGGAGAAGAATCTCGTACAACCGACCGACAAAGATTGCAATGTGACGCAAGTCGCGAATGTGCCTGGTCGTCGTCGTCGTTCTCCGTTGGCGAGTGAACCCGACACTAACGTAAACACGATGGTTGTCAGTGGCGATGACCTCGACCGGAAGAAAAGCGACGAACGATTATTCGAGGGATACACGGGAAACGTGCCTCCGAACACGCGGAGCGAAGAAGACGAGGGGAAAGTTACTGCCGTGGAAGAGGTTCCTGATAATTCGGTATCGGAAGTGACGACGAACGTAATCGAATCAAACCTCGATGTTTCCATTACGCGCAACGAGACTGATAGAAATTTCGTATCGAACATTGATAAGGATTACGCGTTTGGGAAGCATTTGTCAGAAACGGAGGAGATCTCAGAGAATGATCCAGGAAACGACCAAAATCACGAGAATGTATTTCGAAAAGACGTTCATTCTATATCGGATAGACGTTTTATTCCGAAAGTGGTGAACGTGAAAAAGAGACAGCGTGACAATAATACATCCTCCGAAAGTTGTGATTCTCGTATGGAACGCGAGAATCAGGAGATCGTGTGCAGAAAAGACGTAGATCCTGGGATCGTCTCTAGGAAACATCACAATAACGCTACTGCCAATGGATTGCCGAGGAAGCGGCAACCTCAGCAGCAGCCACAGAAGATTGACTCCGAGAATCCCGATTCCGAGATCGAACACCGGCTCCATCATCATGATCACCACCATCGCTGTCGCCATCACGACAACGTGTACAAAAGGAGTAGTGTGAATTCGCGAAAACGGATCGTTTCGAGGAAACGACCAAGGAACGATGTAACCTCGGACGCAGTGTACGAGAACGAGGAACATTGTAAAAAGGACCTATCCTATTTAAGTATTACGTGTAAAAGGCAACAAGCTGCGAAAGGTATGAAGCAGCAGCAAGGGGGGTCCGTGCCGTCGGAAGCACGGGACTCGGACGTCGATTGCGCCTTATCGGGTCGCGTCACTCCCGCCGTTGTTGCACCCTCGGAATTGGAACATAGACGGTCGAGCATCGAGTTCCAACCCGTCGTTAGAATGATGAAGATCGACGATCAAGTCGAAATGGACCATAATAATATTCTCTCGGTGACTGTCGCGAGCAATAGACGGTTAAGAAGTTCCAGTTCGCCGAGATCAATCGCTCTGCCACCGAAAAAACGTTTGAAGACCAATCGCGGTCAGTTCGGGAGATGGTTGAAAAATAGCTGAAATCCTCGATAAGATTTTCGTTATAGTTTAAGTTTCAGAATCGAGATACGGTTTTTTTTATGGAAAGATATCTCATTGTTGAAATTTAATCTATACGCGATAATATACGATATACATTTTACCAACACATGTACATTATGTATAAAATATTTGTGTACGTAGAATAGTATTTAACACACTGGCGCACCACCATCGATATGGTTTTCTTCGTTTTTTCCTTAACGTCGTTAGCTTGTTTCTTTTGTATCGTAAGAGAGTTCCCTGTTCTCGGAGAGCATCGGCGAGCATCATCAATTAAACGCAGTCTTCGCGCTTTCTCGACTCATGTATTATTTTACTTTACATCTCGACATACGTACGCGTTCACATGTACATATATACACGCATACGTATAATACATATATACATACGAAAAGACGTATCGTCGCTGCCTACTATTTTGTCATTTGCGTCTTGGCGTCGTTAATTCTTATTAACAATATTGTATTTATCAAAGACTAAGGTGAGTCAAGGCGGAATCGTTGATGATACGTGTGGGCGTACACGTGCGTAAGACAAGAATTAATTTCATCTTTGTAATAAAAACAGGCCACACGGAGAATGCGCAAGGCTGCGTGAAAGCTTTGTCATTGTAATCTAGCGTAACGATTACTTTCCGAAATGAAACTATATGCATCATCGATGCGCCACAGTATACATACTATTGAATTCCCTCACGGGGGTCCACCTAAATATTTTATTTCTATTTAATGTAAGTCTTTCGTGATTTAAAAACAGAGATGACTATTAAAGATATGAATTTTTCATTAAAATTGACAAGATAGAGATATTAAAGAATCCTTCCATACATATAGGTACGTGTCACCGCGTTCAAGTAAAAAGCAAAATGATAACTGATTTCGACTCGATTACATTTTATTTAACGCTTGCTTATTTATGTCTTACATATTTCTATTGATTATTTTAAGTTTTCTCGTTCTTCGAACGCTTTCTTCAAATCTGTCATCTTCTTTTGTTTTTGTTGCTTCTTGATGGAATCTCTTTTGCTTAATCGTTCCTCTTGTTTTTCGAGAGACTCTTCGCCGTTAATTAGATTATCTAACTTTTTCAACAGCAGCTCTCTAGCAATTTTCCTGTTCTGGGACAGGCTCCTCGTTTCGTGACATTTTACGACCAAGCCTGTAGGCACGTGCTTCAAGATTACCGCGTTCGACGTTTTATTGGTTGCTTGTCCACCTGGTCCGGATCCTCTCACGTGCTGTTCTTCTAGCTCGTTTTCCTCGAGTTTCGGTAGTTTCGAATAATCCAAAAACCGTTTATACGATTTGTATCGAATTTGTTCAGTTATATTTACATTTACATTATTCTTACTTATTCTTTGATCGATCAAAGGTAACACACAAGTAGTAGCGCAGGATTGATCAAAACAAGTTCTACTTACAATTAATAATTTTTGTACGAGGCTAGACATTACGCATTTACACTACTCGTTGATTTTGCAATAGTTTTTGCCCTTTCTGAAATGATCATACGAAAAACTAAAGTTAGATCTGCATTCTGCTAACGGAGGTTATAACTAAGTAACGAAACCGTTACGTGTTTTGTTCAAAAATGCATTCGATTGAAATTTAAGTACGAACTTATACTTGTTATTCGATATACCTGTAGTTGGAAATCAATTTCAGCTTGATCGATTAAATCCCTGTTTTTTTTAAAATTCTTACGAATTCTATATCGAAAATATTCTTTGTCGGTGTACTTCAAATTTTCACCGTACCGCAATAAGTTCTTGTATAGCTTTAAAACGGTATGTCTCATTTTCTGTATTTATATATGACTTCCAATTTTTCTTTCTATCTTTATTTCAATATCACGTTTATCGCGTTTTCGAATAATCAGACGATTCTCACTTTATGTAACTGTTGATGGATGCTAAAGCTAACCTCGAAGTTAGTTATTTAGCATATAAAGATAGTAGTGACACTGACGCACTGGCCAGTAGCCACGTGCCGAAACCCTATCATTCACAGATTTGGCTGAATGGATTGCTGATAAACTTCTATTGTGTCTTCTTCTTCCACTTTAAGAGTTTTCGATGTGTGTAATTGATTTATAGATTGTCCATCGATTGCTATCTCCAAATCCTATAGAGATACAATACTTTTTCTGTCTAGTTCATTCATACATATGAACGTCGTTTATTTTGTAGAACGATAAACGAAATAGATAAGAACAAGGAGGAAATGAGAGTGCTCACGGCGGTCGGCAGTCCTATCTATGGCTACCGTGCTTTGCGAATATCGTGGAAAGTGGAAAAATAAGTGAACTACGCGTCAATATACAAAGTAATAATTTATTTAAAAAATTGTATTTTAAATAAAAAGTCTTTGAAAAGTTGCTTGCTTCGTAAATGTGATGCTTCGCCTGGATCCACTGCGAACAAACGTCATCGTTTTTAAAACTCTCGAAATTCCATCTTAAACATTTTCTCGATTATATCGTCCATCTGTAATTCTTCGGTTATTTCGATTATCAACTCTTCTATCAATTTGTCGGAAACCCTATTCAACGATTCATTTGATCGTTATAAATGTACCACAGGAAATATATGTATCTTTCTATCTAAATACCCATACCATGCCACGATGTCCCAAGGTTTGTTCTGCGTACTGCTGGAATACATCGGCTTCGATCGGCACAGCTTTCTATACTCGGATCTGTACGCCAGGAACAGTAGTTCCACTTGTTTTGAAACGATTAGATTCGTTGTGTGGTTAACATTTGGATCTGCCAAGTTTTTGCTATTAGGGGCCTGAAAATTCATGATGAAATCAGACGGTAACCGTCGAACGATTTCGTTGACGATTCAATACACTATCGCTTACCTTTGATCCGATCCTATACTCCGATTGACATGAAGCATCGCACCGTGTCATTCTCGAAACTCTTTCCGTCGAAGATACGCAGATCAGTTGAACGTTCTCATCGCGTTTTTCAGTTTCGCTGGTTAGCCTGTCGGAGATTCAAATAAAATAATTAAGTCTTTAACAGTCAAAAACCTTATCTCTGAAACAAAACGTTGCCCAGTCGATTTTCTACTCTGTAGTTACCCTTTCTTCGATTTGTAAGGTCTGCCTTCTCGATTTTCGTCCGTTATAGGTGCCTTTGTATCCGAATCTTTGGGAGACTGGAATTTCTGTAGAAGTTCTCTCAACGTTTCCACGGACGTTCCCGATACCGGTTGCGTTTCAATTTGCTTTTGCTATTGGAGAACACAAAACAATCGTAGACACAAAATCCTTGATACAAGCTAACGAGTTGGTTCGTGCAGAAACCATGATGAACATTACCTTCTTCGGAATGAGATCGTTCAGTAAATCGTTTATCACAGGAGCTAACGTAGCCAAATGTTCTTTGGTGATCGTAGATACTTTTTTGACTAAATCATCCTCGTTCGCCTCGCTATCCACCTTGATACTCCTTCCCGTTTTGTCTTTCGTGTTTGCCGTTAACTTCGATGTGTCCGTAGGCGATATCTTTTGTACAGTAGCAGATTGTTCATCGGCATTCGTTACGATTTTACGTTTAGTTTGAACTTGTACATAACTATCCTGTAAAATCGGCCGTCACCGTCGTCAAAGTGATCGTAATTATTTATGAACGATGAAAGTAAAACGAGTCTTACGTTTTCCGAATCTATCTCTAATCCATCCATCATTGTCGCGATATCGTCCTCTTTTGAATAGTTCGTGTTCTTCACATCGCTGTCGACCTGAGCGACTTCTCTGGAAGAGGAAGTGTGTGTTATAGGGCTGGGATACAATAGTTCCGGTAACGAATAATGTTGAGCGTGGAGGCTTTTCACATCTTTAACGTTACTCCCAGTGTCCTTCTGACGAACGCAGCCTGAAAAGCATACGCTTAGTCTTGTAACGTAAAACAAAGGACGAAGGACAAAATCTCGAATACTTTTTCTTTTCGAATCGTTTCTTCTCTTTTGGTTATTCTTAGATAGTTTAATGTCCATACTGTACATGCTTAATCGGCTGGATAAATTTTTTCTGTTGGAACGACCCTTGGTACTCGAAGGTATTCGCGTAACGTTTACCGTCGATTCGACGTTCTTGCAATTGCTCTCTTCTAAATTTAACTTTAATCGAGATAAAATAGCATCGCACTTATCTTGAAGCGTCTTCCCCTGCAGCAGAGAGCAGCATTCTACATCGAACACGATTCGTATAAACATAAACCATAACGCAATGAGGATTAAACTGTTGTTCGCGCATTACCAACGGTACGGCGGTGGTATCTCCCGAACAGTAGTAACTGGTAGAGATCTCGATTTTGTCGCAAGTGTTCGTCAAGCTGCGGACGATCTGCAACACGTCCTGGAGTTTCGTAGAGTGACCCTCGACGATGGAGTTTGGAATATGCTTCGAATAAGCGGTCAGAGCTTGCACCAGTAGTTGATGAGCAGTGATTAGTTTTTGCTTGATCATATCTTGATGAAATGCGACATTTCTATGATATTGTTTCAGTCCTATCCGAGAGGACACGCCTTTCACATGTCCTTCGATACTTGATACGAGTCTGTTCAGATTATACAAATAGTTTCTCGAAAATCTTATAGCGAACTCCAACGTTTGCTGTTGCCTCCTTTTCAAATCGTTGTCGCCATCCGGCAAAGGAATTCTGCATAGTCTAAATAAAATTTCATCCAATAATTCGACAATTTTCTTTTGCATAGACAGAAGCTTTTGCACGGTAAAGGGATCCGGTTCCACATAAATGACGTCGTCGTCTCTGTAGTTGCTAAAATCCGTATCGGAATTATTAGCGAAATCATTGGTCGCGCGAAGAAGTTGATTCGTGTACGATCTCTTCTCCGTGAAAGAAGAATCGGACAGAGATTTTTTAGCCTCGGATCTGAAAACTATTTTTAGCGCTTCGGATTCTTTGCGGGTGGAAATATCGTTGGCCCTGGACATGGTTCGAGTTGAAACGTTGGCGTTGGTACTCTTTCCATGTTTGTTCTTCGTCGACGCTATAGCCTTCGAACAATCATTTTCGTTACTGTCCACCTGTCATACGGGTAAAGATTAGTTCACTTTCTATATCGAAATTATAAGATCGTACGTACTTTCGTGTAAATCGTTTCGTTCTTATCGTCGCATTTCTGAGTCTCGCGCGTTCCTTTGGTCCTCTCGGGGAGGGCGTCTTCCTCCAGTCTTTTTAGTTCTCTATCCACGTCCTGCATGTTTTCTTGCAAGAGATCCTTCATACTTTGCAAAGAGCGATCGACATCGTTCTTCTCAAACCTCAAATTATTTAACTCCTGTTCTTTAACGAATGAAGCCCAAATACGCTCCTCGTCCTCTTTACGTCTCTGCCTTTGTACATTTTTTACTATATGTTTAAAATGACTTTCGGGTATGTACTGTAATAACGAAACATCATTTTACATCATAAGCTTATCGTCGATCTGTTCACGTCGTCCTAATGATCAATAATAACGATAATCCGCGTATACGAGTACCTTAAAGCTATAATCTTCCTTCATCTCTAAGGAAAGGAAATGTTCCCTGTCTTTATTATTTATTTCATTGGTCGTTCGGCTTTCTATTACGAAAGACATTCCTCCTTGGTTAGATCGAAATTTGGCGGATTCAATTTTCCCACGTTCTCACTCGACGTCGCGATAAAAAACACATATCAAAGGGTAAGTATATACGATCTTCGGAAAAACGTACCGTAAAGCTACCTGTTTTCGGGTAATAATATAGAAGAAGAAAGTTAAAAAATTGCTTTATATTCGATCTTCGAACAGGAGTTAAATTAGCATCTTAAACTGTCTCGATATTATTTTAACGACTTATCGACAATGTACACATCGTCAAATTTCGAACACTATTACAGCTACAGCTGCAACTGGTTCCGTTAGCTGTCATCGCATACCATCGTAAAGCGCATGCATGCATGCATTTGTACGTGATATCATTGTCAGTTGCAGTCGCAGCCGGTAACTCTGGTAGGTATCTGTGTCAATTTCCGAAATTATACGGTCGTACGAATTAAATACGTACAGCGTAAGCGTCAGACAGTGTTCGGAACCGAAAGTGGAATATATACGAATTAAGAGTATAAGGTGTCGCGATAAATGTGGGTGTGGTTGAAGCGTGTTTGCCCGCTATTACTATTAGGTGGCAGATATTCGTTAAGTATCGCTGGATCAATAAGTATACCGTGCGCAAGGACATAGAAAACTGACACAGGCACAGGTGCCAGTGCCGCGGCCGTGGTAGCCAACGAGTTTTGTCCTGCGTAATCTGAATGTAGCCGACCTGACGATCTATACCTTTGCGCGGTTACATTTAAAATCGGCAAGTAGTCGAACCGGAACATCTTCCATTCGCGCGCTCTGGTATCGGCGAATTTCTACCGTGCCAAGTCCTGACCGTTCACTGACACCGCGACTCGTGATACGTGTCCCTGCATTTTTAATCGCGTGTCTTTCGGATGCAATCGAGTTCGTAGTTGTCGACGATTCATCGGCGTACGCAGTGGTAGCTAGTCGCGAAATTGTTGCTAGAACCAACTACCGTTCGTTGGTTAGCGGTACGTGACGTCAGGCGCAAATTCAGGCGCAGAATCACGCTTCGCCTGGCCCATGATTACTTGCGTATCGTCGATTTTTCGGCTTTTATCACGAAGCGAAACGTCTGGAAATTCAAATAGGATTCGGTAACGTATGACGGAACATAGTTGAAACGTTTTGGACGAATCCTTTGATTTATCTCGCTTATCCCGATCCTCCTTCTAGTATCATTACTGCTGCTACTGCTCACGCTCACCTTATTCGTATTCATCCCTTGTCGTTACGTACATATGTATTTTTATGAGAAGTTGAAGAACAAATACTCGACACAGCAGGTGTATCATCCCTAATTCGTAATCAACGATAAAACAATGTCCGTTTCCTTCCACATCCGTTTGATTATTTACGAATCGTCAATCACCTATCACGATTTATTTCAGATATCGAGAAAATGACAAGTTTTTAATGGGAACCTGCTTAACATAGCGAAACAGTTCATTTAGTTGTTCGTGTATCGCACACAACTCTCCTTGTGTATCGTCAAACTCGTATAGCCGTATTTTATTATAAGCAAGTATTTATGTCTTCGACCCGCAAGTAGGAATAGGATTTCCAAAAAATGGCATCCACGATGTTGGTTAAATTACCAACTGTACCATTTCCCCAAGTAAGTATCGACTATCTTTTGTTTAAAAGGAAGCGAACGGAAACATCTCGATTGTGGGTGCAGTCGTACAAGATTCGTTTTCAGGGAAAGAAGTCACCCTCGGATATAGTAGCATTAACGGAGAGAAACGATGGCATAAACCAAAATGCGAGGCATCAAGCCATAAATCTCGACAGAGTAGCTCAACTGGAACAAAATATGAAATTTTTACAAGAACAACATCAGGCAACTTTGGTAGCCTTGCACCAAGAAGTCGAATCGTTGCGCCAGAAGAATAGAGGTAAAGATTATGATTTGCCATCGCATATTAACAACGGAATTCTGTGTCCTAACACGCATTCTTTCTTTTTTACACAGACTTACAGTTTCAATTGGTATTCTCGAAAGGATCCACTTATGTACCTAGCAGTCCTTCTTCTCCCGAAGACAATGGAACTGGGTTTGCAAAACAAAAGGTAAGTGACCATCGAAGGAAAAGTTGTAACACGTTTTGATATCGACTCTTTTTATAGGGTAGCCCAATATGCGTAAACATAACTCCGCTACAAGTAGAACTTTTGGAGAAGGAACTACAAGACACCAAGTTATCTCTACAAGAGGCTAAAACCCAGAATCAGCAATTAACCGAGATTGTCGAAGAGCAAAAACAGTTAGTCATGACCGGCGCCAGTGAAACCGAATCGTTAGAAGAACGTTCGACGAAACCCGTTTGTTACAGGAAAGCTAGTTGTACGGAAGAACGAACGACGACCAAGGAGGCTACGGTGGACGTGGGGATCCAGGTAGGGGATAGACTGGACCCTGTTCGAGCGGATTTAGTCGCGTGCTTGGATGGCGCGGAGGCGATGATAAAACGCTTGCGCGCACAGAACGATGATCAGAAAGAAGAGATCGCGAGGCTGAAAGCAGCTTCAACGAGTGCCAATGGTAATAAAGGAGCTCGATCACGCGACAGTAATACTAGTCGTCATAGTCGCGGATCGCCTACGGATAGCTCGCAAGAACAAACTCCTCATGTATTCCCACCATTACAGAATCAAAGGCACTGGCATCATAGATCCTTAAGGTATAGAATCATATCGACGATATATTTACTTTCTTCTCTACTTTCCCAGCGATTCTCCTTTATAATCTTGTTCTTAATACGAACTGTTGTAGAAATGGAAGAAATCGGCACTACAAGTCGATGGAGGTGGATTCATTACCGCAACTTCAAAACGGCAACGCGAAACAGGATGGAGGGATGCCTTTCGAATCGATGTGCTATCGATCCCGTGGTCATCGTAATTATTATCGCGACGAAGGTAATCAAAAATATCGAGGGAAAGGTTCACAAACGGATCACAAGGACAGCGATAACAACCATCATCACCACCATCATAACAATCATCATTATCGACGAGACTACAAGGAGAGAAGTACTAAAAATCATTCAAAGGAATTTACTGATAAAACGGAAAAATTAAGGGAAACCGATAACTCCACCGCCAGTAAATCATAAGATGACAGGCGTTCGCGCACACCCACACAAATAGTAGCGTTCGTTCTGTTTTTTACCCGCATATAGACGATTTACAAGAACGAAGTCTCGACAGTATCATACGTATTCGTTAACGAAGGAGTCATCCACGTTTTTCTTATATTCGCTTGAATAACATAGCCAAGTACTACACGCGTACCGCTTCGAGTAGGATAGTTTTAACATAAAATTACATCATTTTTAATGTACAAATCTAGTCCGATTTTACTCATCGTAGATTAGCTCATAGATTATTAGCATAAAGGTATATTGTTCATGCTTTAACAAGATCAAAAACATATTAGCTCGTACGGTTATTCCATGCACGGCCCGCGAGGTCTTATTATCCGTGAAAAAAAATTAATCGCAAGTGTAACGAGAACGACGACGAAGATCAGTAAAAGTAATAAAATTGTAACAACGTTAATGACAAAAATACGAGACACTGATTAAGAAATGCTATCGATATTTACGCGATAAAAGTACTACCATTGCAGTTTCTCTATCAAATAATCGAAATTTAAAGTAACATATACGTACGTATGTATACGCATATTGTGCGTGCAGTGCGGTACTTAATACTTGGGTATTGTATAGGTAAATGTATGTATCTACATTTATTCTGCGATGTTTCGGAATTAAGTGATCGATCGTAACGGTATTAGTCGTTCGTTGCGAATTTATTATTTTTTAACGCTAGCCGTGATATTTACAAGTTTGATCGTAATTTGATTCGTGTGTTAAATGTCAGCTGATGTCAGCTTTCGCAGAAATGCAACCTGTACCTATATATATGTCTGTCAGCTTCTGAGTTTGTCAACTTTCACGAACCACTGCTTAAATTAAAGCCGAATATCCAAAGAACATTATTTTGTTTCGGTCTTATCCAAGATTTTGTAGTTTAAATGTCATAAGCAATTATTTTGTACGTTATTTTTATCAATAAATTTCTATTACGTATAAAGAACACTTGTGTATATTTTTTTCCATGTATGTATGGTAAGTATGTGCCACCGACAAATCGCCTGAATTAATATAAGACGCATGCCTAACCTAACCTAACATAACCTCTGAACCTGCGTGATTGGTTATTTGACTTAAATCGGTTATTTCAAAACGCTTCAAAAGCGCGGTAATGGGTAACGGGCAATGACAGTTTGGGTAGTTTGTGCATGGTAAAAAAAAGGTCGAGTTTAAGATTTATTCTGCATTTGATAATACGCGTACTGTTTAATTACTCGGTATAAGTTTATTTGCCCATTGGTTTATATTATAAAACATAAGAATCAGCAATCATTCGAAATTTCGTCTTTCCCTTGAAACGTCCCTTTCGTCCGAAGGGAAGACAGAATTGGCGTTTCGGCGAAACAACAAGCGTTCAATTAAGGTTAGATTGGACTTGAAACATTTAGGCGCGAACAAGTTTTCGTCTAATCTGAAATGGCAGAAATAAAGGAGAAAATGGTAAACATCTATACATCGAGCATTTCGTAAGCGTTTGATATTTATAATCGATCTGCCTTTATGTGTTACTTAGATGACATTCAAACAGTATCAAGCGGAGCTGCAACGTAAACAATTGCAAAAAGCATTAACTCGTAATAACGTCGTCGGCGACGGGAACAGGAATACTGTGAAATCATGCCGATCGCCTAGCATTTCCAGCATTCCGTTCGACAGTAGCTACTGTACTTCTCCGTTACAAACTGGTTCGGGGATCGACAAGGAGATAGTCTCCTCGAGTAATAATTTAAGAAATAGTTATTTAAAGATGCAACACATAAATAGTAATCAGAAAAAGATTGTTGCATCCAGTGTTAAGGGAAGTAGCAGGGAGAGCGACGATGAAATGGATCGTCTTGCAATGCCTCCACCCAAGTTTTACCCGTATCTGTCTCATAACAGTAGAAAATCGTGCGGTAGATCGTCTCGCGAGAACCTTTCGAAGCAGGACGAATATATATCCTCAGATATCGGACACGAATCTTCTGAGAAAAAATATATCTACAAACATCCCAACTACGGTGAAAGATGCCCTGATACTTCCACTCCTTCGCGAATCAATACAGATGGTTCCCCACGAAATAGAAAGGCTCCAACTTTTCAGAAATGGACAGTCGCTTTGAACGAACGAAGAGAATTGATAGTCAAAGGCATGCTGGAGAGGTAGGTGATGCAAGCAGCAATTTTAGCGTCGGTGACATTATATGTGAATAATGTAATCATTGTAATCCATGTTTTGGTTTTGTTACAATAGTGGACGACTCGCCAGAAGCAAACCTATTTTAAAACGATTGGGGAATTCCAAACTCGAATCTGTTTCTGGGCATTTGTATCACCTGCAAGGGGATCTTGACGACGAAGACGACGGTAAGTCAACGAAACGCGTTAGAGTATTCGAATAGCTTATTTTCGACATGTAATTGCTTAATTTCATTTTCTGTGCGTAGAATTACCGGAATACGTCCGAGGCAAATTTTACAATGGATTTCCCGATGATTGGGAAAATGTCTACGAGATTTGGAGAACGTACGTGAAGAAAGGAAGTAGTGTAACGTTTCGTTGGCCTACTCCCATTACGGACAGCGACGATGACATAAACAGCGAAGTAACAGACATCGTGTTCCCGAATTTAAAGAGTTCTGAAAAAGAAGTACGAGATTTCGACTCTTTCGGGGAATCGCCCGAGGCCCCATTCAACTCCGAGTCTATTCACAAGCCGTTGCGAACAAAGGATAAACGCGACGATAGCTCGCACGAGCGTTTGAAAATGAATTCGTCCACACAAACGTCTATCTCCGGCATAACAGCACATTTAACACATACGGACATGCGTTTGCCGTTAAACAATTTTATTCACGACGATAAAGAAAACATACACGCGGATGCTTCCCGTGCTTCTGTCGCGGCAACGAAATTAATGAATATTGTGAACGTTATAGTGAGTAACTTGACGGACAACAATCAATCCATAGAGTGCATCAACAAGTTTGCCACGATGCTCGAGATCTTTAGCAGTCTCCTATTAAACGGATCGATTAAAGAAGGCGATACCTCTAAGGGAGACTCGAAATCGATAGACGAACCGAACAGCCTTAACGTAACTTATAATTTTGCCGAGCGTCTTCATTCCAAATCGAGTCCTCCATCGCGAAATACCACGAATAAAGAAACCGCGATCTGTAATAATTTGTCGCAACGAAAGAGACCATTTTCGAAAGCGATTGGCGATGATAACGACAGCGACAACGAGGTTTACTCGGGAGTTACCAAAATACAATTAAGTCAGGTAATACGGCAAAAGGAAACGGTACTGAAACCGTCTAAACGTAAACTAAGAAAGCAAGAAGTATCACGTTCTCCGAACGAGTGTACTGCTACATCCAACCATACTGCTCACAGTTTCGCGGAGAAAGTGACGGAAGACAATAAAAAACGTCGCAACGCTGAATCCGACGATTCTAGCAGAGAAAGCGAACGCTTAAGGGTAAAAAACTATACAAGTCCGAATACTCGGAGTGTCACGGAGAGGCGTCAAGCAGGGACGAAGGAGCTTACGAAAGACAAAAACGCATGCGATACTAAAGGCGATTCTGTGCACGAGAACTCGTTCAAACCTATCCCTCAAACAAGCCGAATTGGGAAAGCGACGGAAGACAATAAAAAACGTCGCAACGCTGAATCCGACGATTCTAGTGTTAGTATAATGTACGAAGAAAGCGAACGCTTAAGGGTAAAAAACTATACAAGTCCGAAAACTCGGAGTGTCACGGAGAGGCGTCAAGCAGGGACGAAGGAGCTTACGAAAGATAGAAACGCATGCGATACTAAAGGAGATTCTGTGCACGAGAACTCGTTCAAACCTATCCCTCAAACAAGCCGAATTGGGAAAGCGACGGAAGACAATAAAAAACGTCGCAACGCTGAATCCGACGATTCTAGTGTTAGTATAATGTACGAAGAAAGCGAACGCTTAAGGGTAAAAAACTATACAAGTCCGAAAACTCGGAGTGTCACGGAGAGGCGTCAAGCAGGGACGAAGGAGCTTACGAAAGATAGAAACGCATGCGATACTAAAGGAGATTCTGTGCACGAGAACTCGTTCGAGCCTATCCCCCAGACAAGTCGAATTGGGAAAGTGACGGAAGATAATAAAAAACGTCGCAACGCTGAATCCGACGAGTCTAGTATTAGTATAATGTACGAGGAAAGCGATCGTTTAATGGTAAAAGACTGTACAAGTTCGAATACTCGGAGTGTCGTGGAGAGGCGTCAACCAGGGAAAAAGAAGCTTGCGAAAGATAGAAATGCATGCGAAACTAAAGGAGATTCTCTGCACGAGAGATCGTTCGAACCTACACCGCAAACAAGTCGAAGTACACGCCCTGTCTACGATTCATCGGTTAAGAGGGTGAATAATGACGAGATGGTGGAAAAAAACTTGAGTAAATATAACGAAGATAGGGACACTGTGCACGATCATCAAAATGATTCGTTCCTCGAAAAGAGTGGGAAATCTATAAACTCTCCCCGACTGCAACATATCTTGAAAAAAATGACTGCGAAACCTATGGTAATTAGTTCCGTTCCTGTCGATATTAAAACTGTTAGCGCGCAAATAAATTGTTTATCGAAAAACGGAAAGGAAAATCTGTTTGAAGATGCTGAAAGGAAAACCGGTATTGTCAAGATTGAGAGTGCTGAAAGTGAATATAAGAATTTAATACGGAGGAAGTCTCCTTTAAAATGCGATAATAGAAAGAAGAGTACAAATTTTTTTTTCGATGATATGTATAACAACGACGACGATGACAATCGGCATACCGAATCCATTGAAGTGCCTGAAACTAATAACATCGATTCTATTGTTTCGAACAAATCCTTGCAGGAGAACGATATAATAGCTTCTAAAGATAACAATGATAACTGCAAACCCAAATTACTATCGACTTGGACACCGATAGTCATTACATGTGGAACTGATTTATGTTTAATCTTCGAGGGAAACTTAATAAAGTAAGTACATTGCGAGCTTACACTATTCATTGTAAAATGTGTTATCGTACTTTCGCAGCGATGCTGGCCACGTGATAACTAGAAAGTTCAAAACGGATACGGTACTTCGTCGAGTATCGGCGAGGCTGGTCGAGACGGCAAATCATGAATTTTATCAGCTGATCGGCTCGCCGAGCGCGAAACACGGTTTGAAATATACCATTTAACTTGCTCATTCAATTTTTCGATCGATCATTTCATAATTTCGTTTTCTTTAGTTGTACCTAAGAAATTGTTAGATCGATGTCGTCATGGTTGTCCCGCTAGGATAGAACAGTTCTGTGAAGCGTGGGAATCGTTGCAAGCCGGTAAGTCGTGAGATCATTCAAATTCAATATCGTTATGATATATTTGCAATTATTTACGGTTTTTTTAATTTTAAACGGACTAATTGGGTACGGACAGAAAATAAAAACAAACAAAATGAAATAAAAAAAAGTAAATCGGATTCATCAAAAAATACCGTAAGCGTCAGTGTAAGTTCCAAAGGCAGAAGAATAATATCCCCATTAAATTATTGGACAGGTAAGAAATGCAGACCTGTGGTTCCTGATTTAATCTTGAATCCTGTTTAATCGTTCGACAGGAGAACGCGTTACGCTAAAGGGCGAAGATATGATATACGTATGCAGTGATTCAAAAGATAACTCTCAAAATCCGATCAGAAACAATTACACGCCGAAACGAAAAAAAGATAATAGCACCGATACACAAGTAATTATCGTAGATTCTTGTTTTATTTGTGAATATTATTGTAAATGTATTATATGTGATCGTCTTCATTTTCGCACAAAATACTACTGGTATGAGTTCGCCAGACAAATCAGGTAAAAAACTGGTTGAAATGAGAAGGTAGGAGAGAACTAGTCGGGAAGCATCTAACGCGGACGAGTTGAATAAGTCAAGTACGATAGATGTCGAAAATTCTATAAGGGCATTCGATCTTCGTCACTGTTAGGGAAACAACGTTTGCCAAGTGTGCCTATTCTTCTTAATAAAACACGATATTTGTTTTATAGCGCGATTCTTCCGGAAATGTTGATGATAAGAAGACGAGACGAGGAGAATCGAAAGCAGAAGGAAACATTCAAATTATCAACCGTATCGAGCAAACGTAAGTTGCAATCATAATACTTGTAATGTCATAACAGTAACTTGGCGATCTTTCCTTCGGATTCGATATCCTTCCGTTTATTTTTTTCCAGGGCCGCGAATCATTCATCTCCTCAAGTTGGAAAACATGGTAAAATATTGTATAGTTATCAACGCGGTCCAGTGATTCCAAGAGAAGATGATACTTCATGCGATGAATAAATCTCTCAATTATAAATAATAAATTTTCTCATTAAGTTTAATACGTCAACTCCTATTAGATTTGTTTAATAAAGTGAAACTTTTTATTATACGCTATTTGGATTTGGAAGGGTCAACAAAAATTGTACAAGATAAAATTGTTTTATTCATTGATCAGCGATGTAATTTAACAAGTGTATAAAGTTTGTAAGAAACGTGTTGCATAGCTAAGTTAAAACCTAAGAATTGTACGATAACTCAGCATCGTTAAAGCTGAAACTCAAACATGATGAAAAAATATACGTTATACGTGAAATAAGTAATAGTTACAAATACATACTTACATGATCATCTGCACGTACGCGTTCGTTACGAGTTAGCGCACGATGACGGGTAAAATCCACATTAAAAAAAACTACAGCGAGTAAAATATCCAACAATACGATTTTTTACATCGTACATATAGCGCGCGGAGAAAGACGATTAATTACGCGTACGCGAACTCGTTAGCTTTCGTCGTACAAAGGAGTTCCGTCTCCACTGAGAGACATACTCCGTGGACTAGAATTGGTGTGCGGCGTACCTCGTGGAGACTTGTAAGAAGGTGTCCGAGCGTTCGAAGTTCTATTCCGCGGTGTCGTTCTACCGATTGATTCCTCGTAATTACGCGGTATCTTCCTCGAGTCTTCGTACCTCGGAGTAGAACCACTGGAACAGGGAACAGATTCGCGTAATACTGAGCTGAACGTGTCGTCCGTTCAAAATTAAACGAATACTCACGGTACGCGCGGTCCGCTTTTCAAACGAGCCCACGCTTCCGCCGCCTTCTTCCAATCCATAGGATCGCCGGCCGCGGACATGGGAGGTGTAGGTCTGTGCGACGGAGTCGATCTGTGATGCCCCGGCCCGGTCATCCCGGCGGAAGGAGGAGGTGGATGGACGAACGGATTGGCTTGCTGCTGGTGACTAGGCGTTTGTTGACCGTACCTCGGCGTCGGTTGGCCGTGATGATGCGGGGTATGATGCGGCGTTTGATAAGGCGTCATGAAAGGCGTTTGTCCGGATGGAGTGTACGGCGTGTTGGGGTAAGTGTGAACGCCACCGTAACCAGCAGCAGCGCTCGCCGTTCCCGGCGTGTGCGGCGGATAGTGATGTGGAGTTTGATTCGCCACTTGAGTCAGAGAATGCAACATGTGATGTGGAAGATTCTGCGCTACTCGCTGTATTGCTTCTTGATTCATCCCTGTAATGAGAAATGACAACAATGACGGTGTCGATGACGATGTCGACAATGATAACGGTTGACCAACTAACCGGTAACCGCGCCCGGAGTCGTATGATACGGCGTTCTGGACGTCATAGCACCGCGAGGAGTACTAGGAGTAGATTGTCCAGGTACCGGATCCCGAAAGTGTTCTTTGAACCATCGGAAGAGATCGCTCACTCTGCCAAACATTTGTCCCCTGAATCGGAATCCTTCCGGCGACACCGTTACGTATTCGTGACGGCATCGAGCCCGCGGCAGGTAAGACAGTAGAAATTTTCCAGGATAATTCTGAAACGGACATCGCGCGAAGCGCATGTGAATTGATCTCGCGAAATTATAGAGAAGACAGAAGACTAGCAACTGCGAACCTTCGCGGCGGATATTATATAAGGAATCCCTCCAGGGTTATCTTTCTTTTGCTCCTTCAGAATTTCCTCAGCTTTATCCTTGATACCTTCGACGGTCGGCTTGTAGTATTTGAAATCTAACAATTCTGAAGCGTACGCAGCCATAGGATTAACGTGCCTCGCGATGATCTCGTCCAAATCTTCGAATTCTTCGTTCCCGATCCACAGGCTTTGCCCCAGGGAGAAAGCGTTTTCCTTTCCTTCCTCCCGTACGTCTATGTGTTGATAAATTTGATCGGTTACTTTCCACGTGACTGTCAAGTGATCGGCGCCTTTGCTGCTCGGCCTGACTATTGCTTCTCCTTGTTTCATGGTCTGCATCAATTTCTCGGCTTCCGCGAAACTGATATTGTGAAAGGATGGATGCACGATTACACGTTTCACGTAGGTCTGACGTTGCTTTGCTTTTTTCGCGTCCTCCTCAACTTTCGCATCCTTCTGTTCGGATTCCAAATCGTAGAACGGATCCCTTTGCGGCCTGAAAAGTAAATAAAACAAACGGGACAGGATTAGTTTCAACGCGTCGCATCGCGTCCGAAAAAGATAACGAGATAATACGTAAATTCTCGCACCTCCACTCGTGATTTTTGTCTGCGAGATCGCTGCTTTTGCTGGTACATTCCACGCTGAATCGGTCCACCTCAATTTTGATTATGCGACAGTGTATTATCTGGCCAACGCTCACTCTCTCTTCGGGATTTGCGACGTGTCTGTCGGATAAGTTTTTTATGTGAATATAACCGGATATCCCGTTGTCCAATCTCAATCTGACGCCAGTGGCTTTGCCGGGACAAGCACCGGCATCGAAATGATTCCATACTTCGGAGAGTTCCGGGAAGTCGTTCTTCAAACAGAAAGGGCATTGCCACAATCCGGTCTCGTCGTTCCTCACCGGGTTGGCTTGATCCAACTGTTCGCCCTGCGGTTTCCTGTGGCTGATCCCGATTACCGTCGCCAACACCAGTTTACCGACGTAAAACGTTTCCGGTGTTTCTTTGGTCAGAACGTCAAACAACTTTTCTGGGCTCGGCGACTGATACGGCACGCGTAAATCTTTGTATCTGCAATTCAATTCTGCTCTGATATCATACAACGTGACGCATTTATTGCCGAAACCTTGTCTCTCGAGCTCCTCCGCGAACGCGTCCAGATCAAGATCCTTTAGCCTCTCTGGAGACTCGAGAATCTCCTCAAGAGCGCCAGCGGGATTCGCGTCCTCGTCGTCGTACTCCAAAGCGTCGACAGCCATCTTCCTCGCCCATTCGTACGTTTCTGGATGCACGCGAGATCCGTCGAGTACCTCAACGTACGCCTCGGTGCTGTCTCCTAAACTGTTCGTATCTATCTTGATGAAACCGGCGCAATTGATGAAAACCTTCGGCCCCATGTGGCAAGCAGTTACCAGCTGCGTTCTGTTCTCCAACCTTTGATTCGTCTGTTTCAACATCTTGATCAACGCTTGACCTTTCCTGGGACCCAAACCACACACGAATTGAACCAGGTTCCCGCAATACGCTTGCTGCACTGCCCTGTTCACGTCGACGCCAACTTCGTTCACACGATTTACAAACTCCAGATACAAATTCTCTAGTAGCTCGTCCTTCGGCAGCTGATCTTGCAAACTGTGATACTTGAGGCATAAAATTTCCTCGTCAGCGGTGCACAGCTGAGAAAATTCGACCAACGGATCCTGCATCCTCCTAGCCAACGAAATGGCCTGTCGCAACAATTCCGGATAGTCCCGGAACTCGGATACACCTTTGTTGCTGTTCGAATAAATCTTAGCCAATTCGTTGTCGCAGATCTCCACCTGAACACTCGGAAACTGTTCCTCCTCGCCGAGATTCGTGATGCATTCTTTTACGTCGGCGGCGATCATCATCGCCTCCCTTGACTCGCCGCCTATCGCTACAACGTGCGGCTTTTTGGTCGCTAGAAAATTCCGAATTGCCAACAAATCCGCTTCCTTCATAGCCTTTTCGTCCTCGCGATAGCCATTCTTTCGTTTCAACAAGTGCGGTAACCTCAAGTGATCCGTGCACTCTCCGTCGGGAGAAATCAGGCAAGCGAACGCGGCTTGTGAGTAATCCGGAACGTAGGCTATACCCATCACGCGCAGCCCTTTTGAAGTATCCCATTCCTCGTCTTCTTCCTCGGGAAATTCGTAGGTGTAAGGAGCGACCTTGATCCAATTGTACATTTTCCGACAACATGCCCTCATCACGCATTCCTTCGCTTCTGCGATCAGATTCGTCCGAAGCTCTTTCTTCAGGCTCGGCAGGACTATACGCGTCAGCGCCGTTTCGACGCTTCCAACTCTGAGCGCATTCCAATCTTGAACGTTCTTGCTGAATTCGTCTCGATAATACAGCTGTTTCATCTCATCGACGTAGTTGCTGCTTGTATTACCCTCGATCGTATCGCTCAACGAAATCGAAATCAATTTGTCCTCCTCGGCTATGATCAATTTTAGAAACTGATCGCCGACAAGATCGCGCACTGGTTTATCCTTCAGATACTTCATCCCGTAGATCGGATGATTCTCGTCTATCTCTTTGATCCCTTTTTTCGTAGGCCTTACAGATATCTTCGCTCTCTCCATGTACATTTCCCGGACGCACTTTTTTACCAACGGTTCGCGCGCCAGCTGAATGGCCACCATCAATTGACCGGCTTTCAACACCTCTTCCGGAGTCTTGAGCACCTGACCGCAGTACTCGTTCGCGAGTACCAAAGGTTCCGTGGGCTCTTGATCCACTTCGTGTCGTTGATAGTTGTCGCGTAAATTTTCAGCGAAATGCTCCGGAGAGAGACCGAACCTTTTTGCAAGACCTTCGAGACCGGCTCGCCTGCAGATGGAATACGGACCGGTTCGAATCGCCTGTTTCAACGTGTCGTCCGGTTCTTCAGTCTCCTCTTCTTCCTCCTCGTCTCCTTCCTCCGCATCTCCGTCTCCTTCTTCTTCCCCCGCCAAAGCCGGATCATCTCCGTTCTCCTCTTCGCCACCTTCCGCCCGCCGCCGCAGCAGCCGCTGTTTCCGTTTCTGCATTCGTTTCGCCTCCTTTCGTGCCTCTTTCTCCTTTCGACGAGCGGCCTCTTGCATCGCCGGGATTTCATGACTGTAATACAGCATGAAATGATGATAAACGTCGTTCAGCTCTTCGCTCGTCTGTACGTTCTTTAGTCGTTCTATGTCATCGTCCATGATCAGTCGCACATTATCGGATAATGGCGCGTCAGGATTCTTCATGATCTCATCCAACTGATAGTTTCTCATCTTCTCAAATAGTTTCAACAGGTTTTCTTTCCTCTGACGAAGCTGACACCATTTTGCGTCGAACTTGTACACCTTCCAAAGATCGTTTATGTTCAACTCTGGCAAAACGTATTCCTTTCTGTAGAACGACACAAAGGGTACCTCGAACTGTTGATTTCTCATGAAATCCAACGCCTTCTTGATTTTACCGACGGTCTGAGGTCCCTTTCGAGCCCTTTCTTTAGCTTCGGCGTTCAAATGCGCATCTTGGACGGAGATGGTCGGTCGACAGAAGGCCTGTTTGTAGATCCATTCCGCTTCGAGATCCAGTTCGTCGGAACCCTCCGGAACCGAGGTAACGGGAACATATCGGAGTTGCATTCTTTCCGGTATGTCCGTGTTTCGTATTTCGTTATCCATGTCGGTGAAGTGACCGCGTTTCAACTCGCTCGGTTCGTAGATTTCGAAGATACTTTTCCTGGTAGTCTTCTTCTTCAACTGTTTCTTCGGTCTTCGCGGTCTTTCGGCGTCTTCCTCATCCACGTAGTCATCTTCCTCTTCCTCCTCCTCCTCATCCTCCTCTTCCTCGTAATCTTCCTCGCCGTATTTTCCGAACTCGTCATAATCGAAATCGACACCGAATATGTCTTGAGCTTCCTGCAGGGCCGCGTCCGAAAAGATCGGCTTCTTCTTTTTACGTTTCTCGGCGATCGGTCTCCCATCGTCGTCGACGATGAAATCGTCCGCGTCCGTGTACTCGCCCTCGCTCCCCTCTTCGTCGAACGTGTCCACCTCGGGCCTATGACTCCGCTCGCTTCTTCTTTCGTCTTCCTAATTTCGCGTCGAACGAAAAGCAAACCAAGAAACGAGTTTAGAACGGAACCATCGGAAATTAGGACAGATGGACGGAGGGACGAACGAACGAACGAACTTAAGACTTAAAACTAACGTATTATCATAGAACCGTAACATGGAATAGGTCCGTACCAGAGCAATCTCCCTTTCCTGACGTAAGCACGGCGACAAGTACATACGTTAGATAGGTGATGGTCGTACGCAAAAAGAAAACGAACGCTTAACTTAAAGAACCACATTTTACTACTCACATCTCCGGAGCCTTCGAAAAGTTCGTTTGCGATGGCATCTCTATCGTCGTCGGCCTCCTTCTCCTGTTCCTCTTCCGATTCTTCGTCCTGAATCCTGCGGAGGCGTTTGAAACGTTTCTAAAGTAAAGAATCGTATTGCTTTATATCTTCGCAATATCATAGCTTCCGAGTAGGTAAACTTATATTCGTTCGCGAGCACGTACTCTCTCGACTTTGACCCCCAAATTCTCTTCTATCAAATCATAATCTTCGTCTTCCAAACGATCGTCGAAATCCTCATCGTCACTCTTTTTGCGTTTCTTAGATGCGCCTGAAGCATCGCTGTCTTCGCCTTCGCTTTCTTCTATCGGATTATCGTCGATCAAATCCTTTAGTTCTTCGCGCAAACGATCCTCGTCGTCTGGAAATGGACGACAATCGTGTCATCGCGTGCAAATCGAACGACGAACAACGACCAAAGCGAGAAAATCATTCTTCTTAAAATCCTAATGATACAACCTTCGGCGGTTTCGCGATGTGTCGCGCTCTATCTATCCTCACCTTCCTCCTCTTCGTCGTCGCTCTCCTCCACAGCTTTTATTTTCTTCAATTTCTTTTTCTCCACTTCATTCAATTCGTCCTCCTCCTATGGGAATGGCAATAGTAAATCATCCATGAAACAAGTTTCGAACGTTTAAAAAACCTTGGCGTTCTCGTACGTGCGATGTAACATTATCGAATTAAAGGGAATGTATACCTCGCTCTCCTCTGCTTCCGAATCTAGGAAATCGGCCATTCTTGCAGCGACAGCCTCCGCTACGAATTGACGGAGCTACGTTATTCAATGATAATGATTCCGGAGAACAAATCGAAGAAACTGGAATATTTATAGGTTCGTGTTCGGAGTTCGGAATTCACTCGGGGACTTGACACTGACACTTCTCGCGAGCGAGGTGTTCGGCTGATGTGAGAATAATGAAACGCCATCTACGCGGTACGTATCCTTCATAATCTGCATGTAATTGTGACATATGTAATACAATAATTGCTGAAGAGAAGTTCATGAGACAAATACGATCTAAAACTGACATTTTTGTAAGGCTTTGCCTATTAGCAACAAATCCCGAAGCCAAAGCTGATATGGTTAAGCGTATACATACTATCCTGATTCGTCAAAGGAAAAAGTTTAAGGTGTAGATAGTTGATGTTTCACCGGTCGATTCATTATTCTTTGTATCAATTTTGATTTCATTTCATTCTTCGTTACTCGTTTCATAAGGAAATAAATTATCTTCAACCGAAAGAAAGCACTGCCTGCTGAACATGCTATTCCTCCTGGGATAGGGCTGGACTTTCACGTGGTTACCGAGGCTCGCAGTCGCAGAGTACATCCACGAGTTTGTTTCTCTCATTGTTTAATCTCGCAAACAAAAAATATAATTACTCGTTGGTAACATATAATATTATACAATTATATATTCTAAAGAGCGTTAAAAATTGCAGACTTTTTCGTGCAACACGAAGTTCCATTCAGTTGCCGCCACTCTTTAGTAGTTTCCTCGGTGCGCAGGCGAAATCAAAAATCGAAATCGAAGGCAGTCTGCTATGTCGTCTGCGTCGGCAGTGCCGACAGTGCCGACTCGGCAATGTCGGCAGTCGCTGTGGTCGCAGTCAGTCGGTCAGTTTCAGTCGTCAGGTTCGCCACTCCGGTCCGGTAGACTCGTCGCGAGAAGAAGAGAAAGCGGTTGTTGGCCAGGCGTGGATCGTTGTGATGGTCTGCTCTATTAATCGTGAACAATGTACAATATTTTACGGATTTTGGTGTTCGGAGTGCTCTTCAGCCTCGCGTACTCCACCGCGACTCGCCCATGGTACGAATCCTTACCCGCAGTAGCCTTAGATTATAAAGTTCATATCGATGCCGGAAAAGAGGATTGTTACTTTCAATATGTTCATGCTGGCGCTACATTTTACGTAAATTTCCAGGTATATTATTGTTTCTTTTTACACTATCATCTTCGAACCTAATAAGTAATTCCTCCTTTATGAATTCGTTAGAATTTAGTTTAACCGAAAATAATAATTGTACAATTCCATGTAACGATATCGCAGGAAGCTCATTTTTTCAAGTTCTTATTTATTCTAAACACAGGTGATACGCGGCGGAGATGGAAAAGCTGGTTTTGCGGTGAGAAATCCAGAGGGGATAATAGTGCATCCGTATCAATGGATCGCAAACTCTGATTATCAAGATACCGCAAAAGCTTCTGGTTACTATAGCATTTGTATCGATAATCAATTCTCCAGATTTGCATGGAAATTAGTTAATTTGTACATCACGGTTATCAGGTAAGCTTCGAAAGTATACGCGATAAAACGATTTTGGTAACATTCGATAAAATATTTGATATCATTGTAAAATACTTATTTTTCAAAGATATGACGAATGGGACAAATATACGAAGGAGTTGGAAGAACTGAACATGTCCGTGGAGAATTTTACGGTATGCATCTCGTATGTACGTGGCAAGAGCGCAATAACTTATTTATTCTTTCTTTTGTTCTTTCCACAGTCGGCGATAATTCACGTGGAGAAAAACATCAATGAAATGCTTCAGACTCAATATCTCAGTAGGAGCAGGGAAGCTAGAGATTTGAGCTTGTTATTGGATAATAATTTCTACGTTCAAACATGGTCGATCGCACAAATAATTATTGCGATAGTGACAACGACGACACAGGTGTACTTCGTAAGAAAATTGTTTGAAGTGAAACCATCTAGGTACTCTAGAGCAGGTATCTAAATCGAGTGCTCGCGTACTCGTTCTAACGTGAAACGAAAAAGAAAAGATACGTTTAAAGGAACCAAATCTGATAAATGACATATTTGCGAGACTATCTCTATCAATACTTTTACTCCAAGAGAGTCATCTACTTAAAGTTGATCGTTACAGTTATTTTCATCATACTTAGTACCGTCAGAATATCCATTTTTCTGCTTGAAACATAGCCTCGCGTCAAGACTGTATCACGTTCCTCACATCGTCCTCGGATACTCAAAGAACGTTCCATCGATCACTACATGAAATACCTAAATCGTTTATTCGTTCGCTCTATTTTTACTCATAGGCTTTTCGTTCGAATTATCAGACGTATGGATCAACGAGACATCATCGGGGAACATTTGTAATAATAATATTTATACCAAGATAATAAATCATTACGTACTTTTGTTATATTATCAATGTCAGTCCGATTAGATTCGGGAATGCTACGTATAGTCAAGTAAAAATAGATAAGCGTGGTTTTATTTAAGAATTGAAGCGAGAATTCGTCGTTCAATCTTCCGCGTCTTCGTTTAGGTGTAACGAATTACTCGATTCATCGTTGTTGTTTCGTTTTCGGTTGCAAAACGTTCCCACCTATCGCAAGAAAGCGGTGTCTCTGTTTAAGATTTTTCGCGCGAACATGTTCCGAAGCGACTTCTTTCGTATAATTCCCGGGAAACCAGCCTTGCTCACCGTTCAACAATTTTCCACCCTGATACCAACCATCCGACATCTTCCTGAACACGTTTATAACATCCCCTGAAAGTAGCATTCTTTCGTACATTGTATTCGTAACGGTAAAATTGAAACAGAGTTCATTCTATTCATCAAGTGTTTTCGTATACCTGGCTGCAACGATAATTCGTCTGGTTGATTCGGAGAATAGGAATACAAAGCGACCACTTGAGGACAGTCCCACGCCTCGTACAAAGTCTCTCCGATCAATCCTCGTTTCGTGGGTGCGACAGCGTCCAACCATCTTTGTCTTTCCGTGTCACTATCGCACGTTAAAACATACTCGACCTGATGTCCGGAGTAATTCTCCAAGAGAGTCAATAGCATCGCATTGCGGCCAGCAAACGGCGAATCTTCCGGAACTGATTCCAAGGCGATCAGGCTTCTCTTGCAAGCATCTATCACGTTATAGGTTTCGTCCTGAGTACTGCGAGCGGTCGCGCGCGTACGTACAGAAGAAGCGATCAGAGCAGAAAAAACGAAAAAAGAAAAGAAGCATAGATGTAGCATTCAGCGTTCTAAATATGTTGCCTAGCGGTATACATAAATTGAAAGATGAGGCATTGCGTACTTGGACTTGTATTTTGCGACTAGAAGGTAATCTGTGAGTAACAACAGATATAGAGGTGTTTTGGCGAATCGTTTTCGAAACGTAAGCTTGTACTCCGGTTTTTCGTTTTTCGTCGATAATCGAACGAGTCGTCCGCTTTTAACCAGTTGTTTTCCTTCCAACGGGATCGGTTTGATCTTCGCAGAATACTCCAGTTTTCTGTTATAGGACAAACAATTATTTGATCGATGTTGGAAGCGCGAACAAACGAATAATTACCGAGCCAAGTTCTCGATTTCGATCGCCTTTACAGCCACGCGAGCGCTTTCGTTGCATTCGACAACGATGTAGTTTAAGGTCGACAAAACCTTTTCCCAATCCGATCTGTCCTCGCGTTCCGGTGAGAGCTTCGAGAGAACCGCGTCAGCCAGTAAAGGAAGTCTTGTTATTCGTTGCATCGGTAGCATTAGAAACGAGTGCAGGGATAAGCTTTGACAAGCTGGACGCGACTCTATCTGTGAGATGATCTCTATAAATCTTGATCCCTTTCGCGTTCTACGGACAAATAGATTCCTTAGCGTCGTAATATTCGATCACGACGTAACTACAAACAAAGCGAAACGAGGAAAAAGCAGTTACCTTAAGTCTTTCAGAGTCGTATCTATGTTCACTTGATTCGTACAGTAAGCTACGTAGATATCAAAAAATTTATCTGCTTGTTTGAGCAGGACGTCCGGTAGGGCGTGCAACATAGGATCGTGACTCCAGGCGACTTCCAGTTCCGCTAAAAACTGTTCCGATGCCTGCAATATCGCAGGGATACCGGCGAACAATCTGTCTTTCTCGTTAGGAGTTAAAACCTCGTCGAGGGATGGTTCGTTAAGGAATTCGTTATTCAACACGCGAAGCGAGTTCAGATAAGACGCTTCGGAAGTCAGAATCTCGAACTTGGCCTCCTGCATTTTTTTCTCTTCCGCGGTCAATCGTTCTAATGAAAGAAGAGAAAACTAATAACAAGCGAGACCTCCGAATCAAATTGTGTATAAACTATTGGAATCAATTGAAGCGCGATGCGTGCAGTTTAATTTCGCTTACGTAAAAGACCATCGTTTATGACTCGCGGCGTCTGGCACCACAATGTTCTGTGTCCTGGTCCTGTTGCCAAGTCCTTGGTAGATCGCGATGGGATTGTGTCTTCGACCTGTTCGGTTCGATGAACAGCGAGTGGTATAAACTACGAATGCAACTGAGTGCACGAATCAGAAGTAGGTACTTTAAAATGTGTACGATACGTTACATCGTCGTAGCATTCCGAGCTCGAGTCAAATGCCACTCTGGCCGCGGCAGCTGCGTAAAACTGATACAGCGGTTCCTGGTCGGCGAGTACACTGTAGCGATCTGCAATTTATTCGTACGATCGCCTCGCGTTTATTACACATTATATTATTCTGTAACGTATGATTTACCTAGTTGCTCACTGGTGTTGCCGTACATAGGTTCGTTGCTCGATCCAGTATAACTCTTCCTCGTCGTCGCGGTCGCAATGTCGTCACCGTTGTTCCGTTCTATGTAACCGTTTAGATAAAAAGTCGAAATAGGCTCGGATACGGCTCTTTCGCCGGAGGTCTTCCTCATTCTCATTCGGCCCAAACTACCTTTCGTGATGCTCCAAGTTCTTCGGAGCATCTTTATCTGTCTACCGAGCGTACGACTCAGGCTGATTTCTCGCGGTGGAGGAGGATTCGGTTTCGTAGGTGCTTCCAGGTACGGCGAGATCGTCGAATCGTTCGATGCGTTTCGCTCGATTTTCTCCCCGCTATTCTTCTCCCTTTCTTGATCGGGCGATATCTCATCGTCGATCTTCTCCGTTTCCGAGTCCGTGCTAAAGTCATCCGGCTGGAAGGAATGCAGACTCTCGTACGTGCTGTCATCGGATGCGTTGTCTGTAAAACGTCCACGGCTAAGCATCGAACGAAAAAACGAAGCGAAAGTTTGTGCGTGTGCAACGCGAGTATCGACGATAACGACGTGCGTTCGATCTGCGAAGGGTCAATGCGCGAGCCAAGTTTCGAGTATTCGCAGAACAACGAAAAATAAGCAGGAAACTTCGAGGAAACGCGATTTTCCTCCCTTGTCTTAACAGCCGACTATTATTCAGCTTCGCGTTCCAAGTAAGTGCGAAAAATCTTACAAGGACCTTCGTGAACGTAGCACGACATCTCCTGCGTGTCCACGTCCTCGTCCAGGTCGATGACCCTCATCTGGACGAGACCCTGCGTTCTCGGTGAATTTTCTCGCGTTGTTGCGTCTTCGCGTCTCTCCTTCTTCCATTCTTCGATCTTCTCCGTGTAACCGACCAGCAGTATCGATCCGCTTCCAAGGCTTACGGCCACTTGAAATCGTTTACGATCGTTGTACCCGCGCGTTTTACGTTCCACGTACAATGCTCGACGTTCGTCCAAGTTTCGATCAACGAAACGGTCAATGATTTTGAACGGCTTCGAAGGCTGACGGGAAAGTAAGGGAGAGAATCGGCCGATATCCGAGAGAGGGAGAGAAAGAGAGAGAGAGTCTCGAAAGAAAAGGAAAAAGAAGGAAGATGATGGTAGCTATGGCGCATCCAGCGAACGAGCAAGGTGAAATCATTTCATGCGTGACTCACGTAATACTCTTTTTTTACTTTCGCTTTTAAATGAAGATCGCCTTGTACGCCTACGCTCAGTTTTTGGAAGTAGAGAAACGAACGTAAAACTTATCGAAAAGACTTCAAACCATCTATCGAGATAGAAAGGGAGGGGGTGGAGACGCGAGCGACGATAAGACGCGATAATCGACCAGGAAGAATGCCGTGATCGCTTGCTTGGATAAACCTCGATTTTTGCGCGTAGAAGATATCATCGTAATTTACCTTGCGTATTCGGTCGTCGGAAGTTTTTCAAGGTCTGTTTCATTTCCTCGACGTCATGTCGACCCGTTACGAGCGACGAGTCTCGCGAAAGTAACCACAACGATTAACGAGAGAAGAATGCGAAATTCGCGCAAGGATCAAGAGGAACTTTTGAAGAGAGAGATTAAAAAAAAATGGAAGACGACGAGAAAAATTTATAGACACGTGTCTTTCGGTACGCGCCGACGAGCGGTTCGGCCGTGACTGACGCTCGAAGAGCGCAATACGCGCTTTCACCTCGCGGCGATCCTGTTACGTCCGCGCGCTCGTGAATACGAGTCCGGTTTCCAGGTTGAGCTCGTCGACAAAACATTTTCTCTCGAATCATCGCCTATAGATATCGTTTGCGCATACACGACAGTCGAGTACGTACGAGCTGACACATAAAAAATTTTGTCCTTCTCTACAGATGTGTATGCAGAAGATCGAAAATTGGACGAATCGATCCTTACGTATTCTACATTTGATGCAACGCTTCTAGTTACGCGCGTGATGGTTCTTTGGAGGATCCCGCGTTGGGAAACCTGCTCGCGTTCGGAAAGAGCGGTTCGTTACGCGCATGTGCTCGTAGATTTCTCAGCAGTAAAAGTAAAATATGCGCGACGAATAAGTAACTTTTACTCGGGACAAGAAGACTCGATCGCACGCGAATCGTTTCAACGACTGGCCACGTAACGACGTAAAAACCGTGCCGCACAGCACTAACTTCGTCGACCATCCGTTTCTATTCACGCACACGTAAATATATATGGATTAACGCGTTTCGTTTAACGCGAATTAACGCGTTCACTGGATGTCGATGTTAGTACGTGAACGAAAGTTCGAACGAACTCACCGTCGAACGTGGTTTTTCGTGGAACCACCGCTGACCTCGATGACAGCGTCGGACACTTCTTGGAGACTCTCCTGGATCGTTGTCGTTTTGTTTTACGACACCATCTTTGCGCAGTTCTTCTTCTACTCGAAACGACTTGAGTCTCTGTCCTTGTTTCATTAAAAAAAAAAGAAAAAATAATCCATCGTTCGTGTCGATAGATCAAACTTTATTCTTTGGAGACTCCGCGATCTATCGATCCACAATTTCACTTACGACGAATTGGTCTTCTTCGAGGAACTGGATTCACCGATCTCCTCCAGATCTTCCCACTCGGACTCTTTGTCTGTGTTCACCAAGCTTGGTCCGTAACTCAAACCCGCATAGAGAGAAGAGCCGGCAGCGTACAGACTGTTCACTCGTTCCTTGCTCGGTAGACCGACGTCATCGTACACATCAGGATCGTTATCAGTACAATCGCCGTCCTCGTCGACACTCGAATATTCGTTGGCCACCGAGAAGTCGTCGTCGTCGTCGCGGTAATCGACAGCTCTTCTTTCGCCCGCGGACGCGTTTCCTGTATTTTTCGGGACCACGTCGTCGTAGATATCGTCTTGGAGATCGTCGCAAGGTTCGTTGATGAGCGGACTGCTTACGTCGTCGTAATCGTCTTCCTGATCGCGTTATGCATAGATCATTTAAGGATGTATAGGCTATATACTTAAACAATGCTAGCATGTTGAATTTGTTATTATACATTCCTATTACTATTAAAAAGCTACCTGCGTTACCTGCTAATTCATGGGTTTTTTGAAAAATTATAGTGACTTAAAATTTGTAT